ATGTTATATATATGTATATATATACTCAGTCTTTCTGGATCACTTCGTGTATTAAAAAACAAGTGTTATTTAATTTACGAGTGTTAACGAGATGGAATCCACGAGGTGGAATAAATGAACCGATTTACACGAAGACAAGTTGAATACAATATTTTATTCTTGCTTTATTCTGACGTTTCGTATTGCGAAATGACAAACAGTTGTCAAAACTTTCTTAGACGGGAGAAAAACCGTAAATTTTGACGGTGTCAAAGAATAAAAATGATTATTTTACTGATTTATGTATCACTGATGGACCTCGTATTGTATATATATATATATATATAAAAATCGTCTGTTCATTATCACACCACGTGGGTGGTGGCCTATCTAAAATATATCAAACATATCTAATTAAACAAATATTTAGGTAACCATAAATTACAATAAACTTATGTAACATTTTTTACGAAAAATTTTCCCATAAACACATTGCTTCACGAATGGAATTTAGTGCTTCCGGTGCACTTTATCGAGATTCAGTTTTTTGCAAGGAAGTTTTGAGTCGAGATAAGAATTTATGCATATTTATGAAGGAAAACGGAATTCGTGACTGTATATTTCCGGTTCTACCGGAAATAACATAATTCTGGATTTATATAGAGCGCGGATAAGCATTTTCGGGTCGTAGAGCTGCTGGAACTGGAATTTTTAGTCAAAATCTTTCAATTGAATGGATGACAAATTTGTTACTTTGTTGCTTATCTTATTGGATATCAAGATGGATACAGGAGTACTTAGTAGTTGACTGAGGAAATGATGATAAGTACAATCCGTAGTTAATTATAGCTCACAGATAATTACGATATATTTGGAAAATGACTGACGAAAAGAAAAACGTGTTTCGTAGATTAATTGTGGCAATTAACTGTCACTTGAATAAATTAATGCAAGACTTGAATTATTCTCATGATCAATTACGACCCAATTGATGGAGATCAGTGTCAAGGAGACAGGTGGCTGTTAAAAACAATTGATTTACGTCAATTTTAAGCGATAAAACGCTAAAATTGAGGTGTTTTTGTTTCTAATCAGCGCTGAAACGGCGAAACATAAATCGCTATAGCCTACTAATAATTGAAATTATTGTTTAATTTAGTTTTATTTGAATAAATTAATTGATTTAAAGCTTTCTCGTTATTTTTTGTGACAGATTGTCACGTGTTTTAATTTTGACGAAACTCGTTTGTGCGTCAAAACTAACTCTATTTTTGCAATTCATTTATTGATTAATTCTGCGAGTAAAAGTAAGCAAATTACCCGATTAAACCCTGTCGGAGAACATCTCACCTGGCCCCTTTAAATCAATAAAGATTTAATCATTCTAATAACCATCTCTTAACTCGCCACATTCTCTTCAAATAAGTGTTGGCAAATTTTCACAATTCTTACCAAAATAAAATTTATAAATAGATTTCGTCTCCAAATTATTTCAGCAATGAAATTGTAATTAGCAGGTTGGTCCAACCTTGAGTGCAGTGCAATTTTTACAAAGGAAAAAATTCTCAGTCAATCGTCCTAATGGATGACAAGACGTTTTTATCACTTAATTACCTTGAAAACGTTGACGTAATTTTGAAACGATAATAGAAAGTGGCGTGGTTTTATTGACCATTTTGTACCATCGCGAAAAGAGAGGGTCGAAAATTTCCGGTCGGTGTTTACGAGCTATAAAAATTCAAATAGAACAAATGCATTTAATTACCTCGCAAACAATTCAAAATTTTTGCTTCTCATTTCCGATTGAAAAATTTATTCGCGTGACGTCAACTAGTAGGCGATGGGTTCATGAAAATATCACAAAGTTGGAAATTTAATTGTTGCGTAATCAATAAGCTATTTTAAATATCGACGTCACTGAATATATTAATTATTACTACAAAGCCAAATTTAATTTAATTGTTTTGTGGAAGCCACAACCCATGGCCGATTTTTTCCCGAGGCCACAATTAATACAATTCAGTTTTTTTCCAGGTTGAAGATCTGCTCAAAATCAAATCAATCGACCGAATCCGTCTTGATAACATTAGTCGGTTTCTGACTGTTGAAAATTTCGACCAAGAAGATACTGACGTCGACAACCCCCGATCTAGCATTTTGACAAATGGCTTCCACCATTCCGTCAATGAGAAAAAATTAACAAACGGGGGGCCCTTAAAACTTCCAGTTTTGAACGGTTTATCTTCCTCTTCGCTTTTTGACATTTTCGAGCTTTTATCAGCATATTCTCCTCGACCGACTGGACAGGAAATTTTCAATTTCACGCGGAAAGGAGAGCCAGCGATACGAATCGGAGTATGGAATTTACACGAGTTTACATTTGAGAAAGCAAACAATCCTGGAGTTAGGGAAGTTGTGTGTCGGACGATTTTAGAGAACGGGTTTGTAAAAAAAAATATTGTACGAAATTAAAGTTTTCAAGTTATTTTTCTAGACTTTCAATATTAGCGGTTCAAGAGGTAGTTAATGTGACAGCATTGAAATTAATTTGTGATGAGCTCAACAAGCCAAGGTTGAGACGAGTAAACGAGTGGAAAGATAAAAACCATAACTGGAATTTTTGTATGCTGGACTTAGAAGGAAGGGTCCCAGTTAGGTTTTATCTATGATTCAGATGGAGGTACCACATTGCCTATTTCTAATTTTATTTGTGTGACTAATTTGTTTTCAGTGATTGATATTGAACTGATATCATTGAACCAAGGTCCACAAGAAGCCAGCAACGACTGCGAAGTGCTCATAGCAAGTTTCAAAGTCGGCGATTTAGATTTGCAATTAGTTAACATGAAATTGCACAAAAATGCGAAACTGGACGTGTTGCAAGAAAAAATAAAGGACTTAATTTCTGAAGAAGATATGCTTTTATTATTTGTGGACTTTTCAGCTATTTCTAATATAACAGGTAAACTGCTGATAACATTGTGTAAATATTTTTTAACGACATTGCCAATTAAGTTACATAATTATTTACATATTTGCTCGTTTTTGCAGACGATTGGTTGACAATAGGGGGTCTTCGAGCAGCTTTTCCAAGTTCGTTGAACACTAATTATTTGAGAACGAAATTGGGCTTAAATCCACAGCACATATCAAATATTTTATTTAATAACAAAATCCAAGGTCAAGTTACGGGTATTAACGGCGTGGTACAGCAAGGTTTGACCCATTTAGCCATACCCAATGGGTGGAACTGGGGCGGCCCGGCATCACCTTTTTGTCCCGTTTGGATGGAATTGTTTCTAAACCCCAATTCAGGGACAGCGTTGTGATATTATCTTATTTTATATTTAATTTTATTTATTTTTGACTGGGTATACTTCACGTAAATTTTACAAATTTATGGCTGTGTGTAAAACGGTTTAATTTTTAAGCTTTAAAGACAAAAATTTTAATGTGAAATAGAAAAAGAGGGCCCGGATTAGTGTTTTTATTTGAAAATTGTGTTTTTTGTTAAATTTTCAAATGAATTTTGTAGTTTAACGGGTTGCCTACATCGAGGGATGAATGTTTGCAATAAAGTGGCCCCGATTTCATATTCATTATACTGTAAAAACATTAGTCTGGTATTTGTAATTGCTTATTTAATAAATATTATTTTATTAACAATGACTTATTATTTTTTAATAAAATTCGGTTTAACCAACAATCGGTTCGTTGTTGATGCGCAAGCACGTGAGAACAGAAGTGCCCTTGACAGCAATGCGCCAACTTTAAAAATTGAAAGTTTTGCAGACATTATTGCAAATAAAGGCTTAACGTGCACATTGGCAATACATTTGATTTTATTTTATGTTAGGGAATAAAAAAAATCGGCGTTTGAATGTTGATTAGGTTCAAATTGTGTTAATTTTTGGCGATCAGCTGTCACTTTGTTGTGTTTGCAACCGTGCGTGCAACCTGTGCAACCGATCATTTTGTAGCAAATGGGTATGGAAAAAATACCCAAATTACCTTAAATCTGTCGATACTTTTGTGATATAATTGCGCCCGAATCGTTTACCTCTTCATTTTTCATGTTATCATAACGCCCAATAGAGTCTTACGTTTTAAGAGCGCCGCCCGGCTTTTCCTCGTGTTTTCATCAGCCACTCCATTGTCAAATCAATCAAAATGGCGGATACAGGTTACAAGAATCGCATCCAGAATTTCAAAAATAAAGGAAAAGACCAAGATGTAAGTATTCCACCCTTTTCTTGTGCCCCACCGGCACCCTTATTCCCCTAATGTCCGTCCGGTGCATCCTGGCTGACCGCCCTGTGTGCCCCCAGGAAATGCGAAGACGGCGCAACGAGGTCACCGTGGAATTGCGCAAGAACAAGCGCGAGGAAACCCTCCAGAAGCGCCGGAATGTACCCGTGGTGGATTCCACCGACGAGGACGACATCGAAAAGTCGCTCTCAAGCACGAATTTAGAGGAACTGGTGGCGCAAGCGGCCGCCATCGATAACCCCCCATTGCAGCTGATGGCGATTCAGACCGCGCGGAAGCTGTTGTCCTCCGATAGGAACCCTCCTATCGACGCCCTTATCTCCAGCGGGATCCTCCCTGTACTCGTGATGTGTCTCGAACGGTATGACGAGCCCTCGTTGCAGTTTGAAGCCGCCTGGGCGCTCACGAACATCGCCTCGGGGACGTCCGCGCAGACCAACAGGGTGGTGCAAGCGGGAGCTGTGCCCCTCTTCTTGAAATTGCTGCATTCGCCCCAACAGAACGTCTGTGAACAGGCCGTTTGGGCCTTGGGGAATATCATCGGCGATGGACCGCAGTTAAGAGACTATGTTATCGAGCTCGGTGTTGTTAATCCACTTCTCTCGTTTATTAAACCGGATGTTCCGATTTCGTTCTTGAGGAACGTCACTTGGGTTATTGTTAATTTGTGTAGGAACAAGGATCCGCCGCCACCTATACAGACTATTAGGGAGTTGTTACCCGCCTTGAATGCGCTTATTCATCATACAGATATCAATGTGAGTATATTCAAGAGAAGAACCACAAAGGTGAGCAGTTTGATACTTTCAAAGTGAAAAATATGAAAATTTGAAAGGGTCGGAATTTGTTCACACTTTTAATGAGACAACGTTTAATTCATCTGTACAAAAATGGTGTCAAGGACGTTTGTCCATTTTAATGCTTTGCAAAAAATACGTTTTCATCGTTTGTTAGTGTTGATTCCGACTTAATTTACAAGAAATGGTTAAATACGACTGTTTGATTGGTTCTAGAAGCAGAATTTTACGTTTTAAAATCATTCATACAATTTTCATTAATTAAAAGTTCACAAGTAGGTCATCTGTATAATTGTTCTTACTTGTTTGGAGGTGTGAATCATGTTTTTGTAACTTAAATCGAGATTGTTTACATAATGTGATATTGGAATTAATCGAGAAATATTCTATTTATATTAAAAAATTAGAAAAACATTTAAACTTCATACTCCTATAAAACATAAAACAGTAATTACAAAGAAATATAAAAATATTTCTGTATTCTTCTTTAATAATAATAATATAATAATAATATGAGTTGATATTTGTTATTAATAAAATGATACGAAACACGATTTCGAATAACATTTTGAATAACGGGGTGCACTTGTATTGGGCTTTTTATTTGTATAATTCATAATTAATTAATTCTCCATTATATGCAGATATTTTGCACCTTTTTCAGTTCAAATGTGTATGTGAAAAACCAAAGAGTTAGCTCTGGAAATTTTTTAATTTTATTTACAGAAACAAATTGCTTTTTTAGCTTTTTCAGATTATGGGAAATAATATGTTAATGTGGCCACTGACATTCAGATTTGAAATATAAATTAACTTAATTTATAATCTACAGAAAAACATGATTGTAATACAATACGGAAAATGTAGCACAATCGGTTAACAAACAGTATCTACTTTTTTGTGTGATATCAACATAATCGTAAATTTTACGAAAATGTCACAATAATGAATTCTTTATGTTCAAGTTAATTTTAATTTTTGATGTGCTTAAATTACCATTTTGCTTTTTTATGTTAATAATTACAATACATATTATGTTACAGAGATGATGTTTTTGTTTGATTTTGAATATTTAATTAATTAAAAGTGCACATTCTCAGCCTTTTTAAACAAAAAAGGGGTGCCAATGCCATCACAAAAGTGCTTCTTTATGAAAATGCCCTAATTAATTGACAAACTTGTCATTTTTGATACTTGAAATACATGAAATTTGTTCACTATTTTTTGTTGTTCAACTGTTTTTAATACATTTTTTTTCTTGTTGAAAGCATTTCTTTGATGTTTCAATAAAAAAATTGATGTATTTTACGGTTTTTTCAGATTTTAGTCGACACGGTCTGGGCATTAAGTTACCTCACTGATGGCGGCAATGAACAAATTCAAATGGTCATCGACAGCGGCGTTGTGCCCAAACTCATCCCCCTTCTTAGCCACAAAGAGGTGAAAGTTCAAACGGCGGCCCTTCGTGCCGTCGGGAACATCGTCACTGGCACGGACGAGCAGACTCAAGTCGTTCTCAACTGCGACGCCTTGTCCCACTTCCCTGCCCTTCTTTCCCACTCCAAAGAGAAGATCTGTAAAGAGGCCGTCTGGTTCCTGTCCAACATCACTGCCGGTAACCAGATGCAAGTTCAAGCCGTCATCGACGCAGGCCTTCTCCCCAACATCATCAACAATCTCAGCAAGGGCGATTTTCAAACGCAGAAAGAGGCAGCGTGGGCTATCAGCAATTTAACCATTGGCGGAAATAAGGAACAGGTGGCAACACTTATCCGCGAAGGGGTGATTCCCCCGTTCTGCGACCTTCTTAGTTGTAAAGATGCCCAAGTGATTCAAGTCGTTTTGGACGGGATTAACAACATGTTGAAGATGGCGGGAGCGGAGGTGGACCAGTTATGTACCATGATCGAGGAGTGCAATGGGCTAGATAAAATCGAAATGTTGCAAAATCATGACAATATAGAAATTTATAAAATTGCGTATGACATCATCGAACAGTACTTTAGTGGTGATGTAAGTTGAAAATTATTTTCTGAACTCGTTTGATAACAGGTGATTATGTTTTTAGGCCGACGACGATCCGAATTTGGCACCGACTGCCGCCGAAACCGGATTCCAATTCGATCCAAATACCAACGTACCGAACGAGGGATTCAAATTCTGATTCATTTCTATATTGCTCAGAGTAACTATTTTGATCTAGCGCGTTTGCTTCCTTTCCTCCCTAAATTCTTTTTACGGTGGTTTATGTACGCTCATTTTAAACGGTTGTGTAAATATAGAATTTTTTATAAATACTTTCGTGATTGCTTTAGGATATTTATTTAATTTAACAAAAAAGCGACGTCACTGTAGTTTAATTTTTTATTTTATTTCGTTCATTTAAATTAGGTAAATATCAATATTTAGTGTAAAGATTTTAAAATGACCGTACATAAGAGAAAATCTGGGCATGATTTAATCAATCAAAAAATAGTCATTAACAAGATTTTAACAATTGAACCTCATGCGCAGATTTGTATATTTTTATGATATTAACAAGTTTTTTTTGGTAAACATCATGCTATATACCTGCATATTTTTTTTAAGTTTTACAATATTTTTTTGTTGTCAGTTGTCATATACATAATGTTTATCGAAAAAGAATTAAATAAATTGAACATTTTAATTGACTGGTCATGTTTAATTGATAATGAATAAGGCTATTATGTAATTTAAAAAATATAGTTTCATGCTTACCATTGTATTATGGTAGTTGCATCGTTTAAAATATAATTTAAAATAAACAAAGTCGAATCTTTTTTTAAAAAATAAGTACATATTTCGTTAGTAGTCTAATATGTGTAAATTTTTAACTCGAGATTTTTATGCCTAGTTTTCTTAGTCATTTTCCTATTTTCTATTCATTATTTTTAACAAAAACCGGTATTTCTACTAAAACATCAAAAACAACGTTGAGTTTGATTTTTTACCTTGGTTTTTAACTCCTTTTTTCTATCTAACTCGAAGTTTTCCTAAAAACATCAATTTTTTAGGAAAATGACTTGATTTTCTCGTTTTAGTCGTAGAATTTTGTGGAGTCTGAAAGACATCTCTTGAGGATTTTTTAAAAACACGAAATATTAGACTACTTTCGTTTTTCAGAATTTTATTGAAACGTGGACATTGTAAATTTCTAGCGAATAAATTACTTGTATTTATATCAAATTTAATTAACCGCAATTCCGGTCACGTTGCGACAGTTACAAGCCCCATGGACTAAAACTTTCTCCTGAGTCCCTTCTTGCAGTTTTACCAACGTGTCAGATGGGAAATTTACAGATAATTTTAGGCAACCACGGCTTAAAATGATGCATTGCGGTTCCTTAGCACTGAATTTCATTTTTGGCGCCACTTTGCCCGGCTTTGGGGCGGATTTTGACACTCTCGGGACTCCCGGAACGAATTCAGTTTGCCTTGGCGGAACCGACTTGCTCCGAGTTCGGCCGACTGAACCTTTCTGGGGTTCCCACGGAACTCGTTCTTCGGGGATCTGCAAATTTGGGTCAAAATAGACCCAGAAATATAATTTTTACCTTAACGTTCGGGAGCGGTTGGGGGGTGCACGCCAGACATCTGCTTTTTCGTGTCGAGGTGTTTTTGGGGGCGTCTTGCCGTCCCTCAGTGTACAAATTCTCAAATTTTGGCACGGTATCGTACATAGAAACCCGATTCAGGAAACTAGAATTGTGTTAGCATTTCTGGAGTTTTGTAATTGGGGGATTTACTTGGGTTGGGGGGTGGTCCAATAGTTGTCGACCCGACTTGTCCTCATCACATAACTCAGCCTTTTAAGTAGATTGAAATTATTTTTTTCGATTTCTTGGCACCGTTCCTCCTCCTTTTGCTTTTTTTTGAGTTTGAGGGTGACGTGTTGTCGTGGTAACGGCGGCCGCGTGTCGATGGCCGGCCCGGCCGATTGCACCTACAATCCTCAAAAAGGCAACGTGAAATTGTTCAAAATCTCACCTTTTTCCTGTGATTTTCAAACCGTCTTTGTTCCCACGGTCTCACCAATAAATTTTCTTTTCGGGAAATCATTATGCAAAATCACATAGAGTGTGTATTACTGGTTGCCTAGCACGTTGCTATTGTAGATGACGCCACTTAGATGTCAGTTTAATTTTATTTTAAATTTGACGTTCGCTCCTAACCAATAATTTAAAAAAGGGCTGTAGTTGTTTATAGGGGCAAAATGAATTCATCAACAAGTACAGATACGTCTAACCAGCCGGATTTAATAATGCAATTGTGTAATCACTTTGCAAAAAATAAGCCAGGTACGTTTTTACCAGTTTTAGAAGTCTGAGTGGGTGAAATTTGTTTTTTTTTTAGTTTTGGCCACGAATTTATGTAAAACTGCGTTTAGTTTCCTATGTTCGCCGTCGGATATGGAATGTAATATTCCAAGTGACGAACAATTTGTTGTTGTCCAAATCAGGGAAATGCTGAGGGAACAATCAACAAACAGTGTTGAACAGTTTGAATTGCTTTACTCTAATATCTGTAAAACGGTAAGAAAAACACTTTAACTGTGATTTTACACTTAACTAACGTTTTTGTGAAGAATGTGTTACAAAACCGGGCTTCAGTCATGAATTTTCTGCTAAAACTTGCCAAAATTTCACAAAAAGAAGTCAGATGGGGGACAATAGAAAGCCTCGATAGATTCCCTTCAACGACCATAACAAGGCCTAAATCACACTATTTTCTGAAAAGTGGTAATTCTCAAGAGTCTATAAGAAGTATTTTTCAAGGACACTCTGCCCTGAAGTCAGTACAATCCAGTAGCACTAATATTCCGGTTAGAAGTATGAATTTTGGCGGCAAAAATTTAATGATAAGTTTTTAGTCATCACGGGTCACGACAGCGGCTTCCAGTGTTTGGTCGAAGAATGAATTGGAATCTGTTTCTTCCCATCTACCTTGTGAGTAGATAAAAAAAAAATTTAATCGCCAAATATCTTTCGAGTACATTATGATTATGATGTTTTAGCCGACACCAATCTAGTATCCGACCGCGAGCTTCTGCAAGACATCATCTACTCCTTCCAAGGCATAGAGGGGCGCTTCCTGCGCAAAGAAGTAGCCGGTTTGGGATTCACCATTGACCCCAAAGCCGGCAAAAACCTCACCCCTATCCAACGCGGTCTTATGGAGCGCCTCACGGGGATGAGCTTCCTCCATAATCAACTCAAACAATACTGCGACTCAAATGACGAACACGGGGGCGTCATCTGTCTCGCCCTCATCGCCACTCTCCGCGACGAACTCTCCTCTTACTACCGCACCATTGCCCTGCTTCAGACTGCGCTTAAGAAACATCCCCATGACCAGCCCCAGATGAATCTTCACAAGGCACTGGTGTACATCCACGAGCACCGAATGCGCTTTGAGTGGCTCGCGTACATCGCCGAGCAGTGTAACGAGAAAAAAGGGGGCGCGTTGATTACTGCAGTCCACGGGTTTCTGCAGCACGGGTCAAAGTGCGCCCAGGAGGTGTCAGAGAAGGTGCTGGCGGCGGTGTGTAAGCCGTTGTTTATCATGTTGTCGCGGTGGTTGTTAGATGGGGAGATAAACGATGCGTGTAATGAGTTTTTTATCGAAGCGAGGGACATAGCCGCGGCCGAGAGACTGTGGCACGATAAGTATCACGTGAGGAAGGCCATGGTGCCATCGTTTATCACGATGGAGCAGGCGAAGAAGATACTGGCAACGGGGAAGAGTATTAATTTTTTGAGACAGATTTGTAAGGATAGTGGGCAGTTGCCAGAAAGGGATGTGTTGCAGAAGTTGTCAAAGACGACCTCAGGTACGTTGGGAAATATTGATTTTAGTGAAACATTTATTTATTATTAATAACAAATCATTAACTTTTGTTACGAAAGCTTATTTTTGGGCCGTTCATTTCATTCAACCGTTCAAGCAAGCCAGTCATAAATAAAAAGAATTTTCAAAATTAAAAAATAATAATTTTGCCCACAAGTTTTGTAAACAATTATGTATTGAAAGTGAATCTCTGTCAGTACAAAAACTAGAAATCAGAGATTTTAGTGGAAAATTACGTTTACGTTTAATGTCTGTTTAGAAGCAAAATATTACAAAAAAATATAGTGTGTGTGTAAATTATCAACATCCCAGTCAAGTGTTTAATATCCTCGAGGACCTGAAAATCTGAGTTGCTGAACGGCTTATTTGATTAATTATCAAAATGAGTCAAATTTTATCCTGAGGTAATTTGAATATTTTGCTGTCGCGTTGCATGAATTAATTCAATAAAATTCCAAGGTATGTAGAAACATCTCATTTATTTGTATTTAACTCAATTCAATCGTAACAAACAAAAATAATGAAAACAAATTCTCGATAATGTAATACAAAAGTAATGCGTAACCTATTTAAATATTACTCTCTAGCCGTTACCACAGTTTTTAACTCCTTATCGACATCCTTAAAATTCTCCTTTTGCCTGTATTGTAGCGGTACTTGTTCTTTAAAAGCCCTCGCCATTTTCAGATGTTGTCCTATAAACAATATTCTCAAATTTGCTATGCTAATCTTGGTTTATTCAATTATGATTATGTTCTCTCTTTGATACGTTTAAATGTAATTAATTTCAGAATCGTTATTTTCACCCGAACAAAGCCTCGAATTCGACTCGGCCCTCGAAAAAGTCTACCGGGAAACGTCGCTCCGAGTCCTTGACCTCCTCAAAAACAAATACCGGCTATACGAACATTTGCAATCCCTTCGGAGATACCTCTTACTCGGCCAGGGTGACTTCATCCGCCACTTGTTAGAACTCTTAGTGTACGTATTTTCTCGTATTTATTTGATTAGTTTAATTAAGAAAACCGAAATTTAGCCCTGAACTAAACAAGCCGGCGCAAGAAATCTACAGTCACACCCTTTCTACAATTCTCGAATCAGCGATCCGCGTAACCAACGCCCAATTCGAAGACGAGGACACCCTTCAACGGCTCAATGCCAGCTTCATGGGGCACTCGCAGGGTGACACCGGATGGGATGTTTTTAGTCTCGTTTATATCGTCGACGGTCCCGTTGGGACGATTTTTCAACCCACAATGACGACATACCAGTGTCTTTTCGGTGCTTTATGGAAGGCCAAACGCATGGAGTTCGTCTTGGCCAATATGAGAAAACAGCAAATTTCAATGGCCAAAAAGTTCCGCAAAATAAGAGAACTCAAACCCGTCATGCATATAATCCACATTCTCACAAGCGAAATGATCCATTTTTTGCACCAAACTCAGTATTACTTTCTCTTTGAAGTGTTGGAGTGCTCCTGGGCGGAAATGCTGCGACGGGTGAATCAAGCCGAGTGTTTGGATGAAATTATAAGCGCACACACGATTTTTTTGAATTCGGTTCAATGTGGAGTGCTGTTGGATGAGAGTTCGAGGCAGTTGTTTTCGCAGTTGAGGTCAATTTATAATTTTATTTTGACGTTGGAGGGACATCAGGAGGCACTGAATGAGGCTGCCACGAAAGAGTATGACGCTTTCATGGCCCTCAAGGCCATGACTGAGAATTCTGAGATGTTTGGAATGACCAGTGAGGATGAAATAATAGCGAAAGCGCGGGTTGAAAATTTTCACGAATTCTTGAATAGCATCCGGACCAAAGTGAAACATTTAGCACAAACGTATGAACAATTCGTTAAGAAATATTTATTGCTGCTGTCGTCGAGTTCGAATATGAATCTCCAATTACTGAGCGTGAGACTTAGTTTTAACGATTATTATAAAATTATTTGACCGGAAACAGACTTTGTGTACAATCAGCCGTCTCAATTTGTATATATTGCGCAATCGCCGAGTTCTACTGTTAGCAAATACGGAAGTTGTGACTCTCTACTTCGTACAAAGAAAAAACAGAAACATATCTGATGTTGTATTGGATGAAAGGGTGCAACCTTTCATCTGGGACTTAATTATGTAATGGAAGTGCAAATTTGAGCAACAGCTCGGCTTCAAATAAACCAAGTTATTCATTACGAATTTGTTTACTTAAAATTAGAGATAAAAAACACAATTATCGTGATAAACCACCCTCATTTACACCCATTTTTTGTTGAATTATTTTACCGTAGCCGCCACGGCCTGAGTCGTAGTCAGTTCTGTACTCGTCACGCACTTGACCCCCAGTCTTTCCCCGACCGTACTGTCGGCCCTCGACGAAGCCTGCGTCCCAGTCTGTTCTCACAATTCTGTCATCCAAACGGGTGCCATTTATATACCTAGAACCGCAAATTCGCAATCTTCAATTAGCCACAAATCGTACATGCAACCTTAAGCAATTTTCCGCGTCTTGTCTATTGTAATACTCAACGAAACAGAAGCCACAAGGCGTTTTTTTGTACTTATCTAGGCCCATGACCACTCGACGAATGTCGCCGCATTTTGAAAATAATTCGTATATTTGTTCCTCAGTAGTGTAAAATGATAAATTTCCAACATACAGAGTAGTCGATAATCGCAATAAACGATCCTGTTCGGCTCTTGTGCCCTGAAAAGTTGAGGTGAGGTTATGCCTCACATCTCCCTGAAATTTACCTTAAAATGTTGGTCGCGGTACGAACTGAGTTCAACTGATGGTGAAGAAATCGTCGACATTATGAACTAGGCCTAAAATACACACTTTTTTCACAAAATCCAATGTTTATAAACACAAACAATTATGACACTTTTTTATAACGCTCGGTCGGTAATGTAGATTCCGCGCCGTTTGCACGGTTGGTTAGTTTTTTGACGTTCAGAAATGTCATTTTTATAAATTTTTAATTTGCGATATTAGTGGCTTTAATCGTAAACTCATTCCCGTACATTTTTTTACAAAGATGAATACGTGTAAATTGGCCGTACCTGTCGATGACAGTGACGGTGACCACCGATGGATGAGTATCGTAAGTAAGAAAAACCTGGGGGCTTCCTTGACTCAACCTGTGATTTTAGCACAAACGTTTCATCTCAGAGTCGCGAGAGAAAGACGCCGATGTGGTTTTTGTTGGCGATTCGATCGTGCAAGCTTTACAACACACTGAAGTGTGGAACGAACTTTTTGCTCCTTTACATTGTTTAAATTTCGGTATCCACAGAGACAAGATCGAGAACGTCCTCTGGAGGATTCAAAACGGCGAACTCGATAACGTAAAACCCAAAGTTATAGTTCTTCACGTCGGTACTAACAACCACGCAAATACTCCTGAAGAAATCACTGAAGGAATTTTAGAAATAATCAGTACAATAAGAGAACGACACCATGATGTTTATATCGTAGTTCCCGTGAGTTGGGTAAGGGTGCGGTGGGCCTGACTTAAGCCGATTCGTTTCAGACATTGTTACCTAGGGGGCAGCACCCCAACAAACTGAGGGAGCGCATGGCTCAGGCCAATGAGCTCCTCAAAAGCAAATTAGTCAATTTACCCAAAGTGGAATTGGTTGTGATCGATAAAGGCTTTGTACAATCAGACGGGACAATAAGTCACCACGACATGCATGATTACCTCCTGCTCACTAACGCCGGCAGCAGGAAAGCCTTTGAGCCAGTTCATGACTTACTTCTCCAATTGCTCAGTGAAGGAGAACCCGAAAGAGATCTCACACCATCGGAATAAAGTTCAAATGCCTTTTTATTCGCTTGTTTAGATTAAGCTCAGGCTCTTTGCCTTAAGTTTTGTTTTTGAATCTCATGTGATAATAAGGTTAAAAACATTGTAAATTTTTTTCACATTCCGAATTTATTTTTTCCTATTAATAGGAAGTCGCTATTTATTTATGCTAGTTTAAGGTACTTTAAGAAGAACTGTTTAGTTGTGATAATTGCTATTCTTATTATTTCTATACATACCTATAAAATTGGAATAAAATTTGCATCAAAAGTAAAAATAGAACTTTATTTAAAAAAGAAGAAATAGTAACAAAAACTAATCAGTGTCACTTTCTGATAAGTAACTCGCATCTTTTTGTGGCTCTTTCTGCACTTTTGCTCTCTTTTTCACGTAACCAGGACCTTGTTTTGATCTTCTAAAAGTTTCAATAGCCTGAATTCGATTTTTCAACATTTCAGCCTTATCTTTCTGTCTCTGAGGAATAACTTCCATTTTGTGTAATTTCTGAAGATTAACCTTCCTTTCTTCTTTTTGTTCTTGAATCTCCTTTTTAACTTCTTTCTGTATTTCTTCCACTCGTTTTTTCGACCTAACTTTCGTCTCCTTCAGGATTTTAATATCCTCATCTTCGTTTTTCCTCCCTACTTTTTTCTTCTTCTTTTTCGGTTCTTCCTCCTCCCCCTCAACTCCAATTCCTTTCCCTATCTTATCTAGCGCAGTCTTCACTCTCTTGCTCATCTGCTTCTCCATCCCCCCTGAATCCACTCTATACTCAACCTTGAAAAAATCAGTAATTGCTTTCTGACTCTTACTTTCCTTCATTCGTCTCAAAATTGGATTAAGAATTTCCTCAGTCTTGTTTTTCGTCCATCCGAACTTTTGTCTCGTGAATTCCACTAACCCAAAAACATCAAGTTTCCCCCATGTAAATCTCTCTTTACTTGTCTCAACTTTGGGCTCTAGATAGGCTTGAACAATCTGGGGATTTGGAAAATTCTCCGTGAAACTCAGATTCTTCAACTTGCCGCGAAGGGAAGTCCGACCAGGGCCGGGCAGTTTGCCTCTTTTAACCCAATTTTTAAACTCTGACAAACCCGAGACTATGTGATTTTTGGGAGGGAAAGCGGCCAAAATTTCTAGAGCCGTCACTGGACCAACTCCAGTCAAACCTGTGGTGTAATCACTCCCCACCAACATGGCTAGGAGGATCATTTGTTCCCTTGTCAGTTCTGTAAACATTAAAATAATGAAAGTTTACAACACGTAAGTAGACAGTACTGTAATGGTGTTGGATGTTTTCTGATTTGAATTCCATCACAATTTTATTTTGGTTGAAAAAATTCTTGTAGACGGTTTTTCCCCCAAATAGCCAAATGTCACTATCGTCGGTTATGGTACCGTCAGTAAGACCAATCAGCTCTAGAAAAGCACACTGAGCCTCGGCTTCCATGGGGGCTATAATGTACGGCACCCCAAACAATTCCAAGAGTTCCTAGAGTAACATTATTTGTTTTCGAATTAAATTAAAGTAACAAAAATCTCACCTGAGCTTCTTGAAACATTTGTTCGGTAATATTACCCGCAGTTCTTTCTTTTGTTTGTTTCTCTATTAGTAATTCTGTTTGTTCCTTTCTGAGATTATCTCTCATTTCGTTCAGTTGCTCAACTGTTAATTCAGTATTCGCTTTGCTATCTTTCTTTTCTTCATGTTGAGGTTTCGTATATGCTTTAACCATCTTCTCAATCTTTTCTTTCAGTAATTGACCTGACGTTCTTTCTTCTGTTTTTCTTTCTTTTTCCACTTCTTTAACAGTATCTTCAGTGCTACTTGACACTTCCGTTTTCTCTTCAATTTCTTCAAATACGTCCTTAAAGAGATCATCTTCAATTTCTTCATCTGGCTTTATTACGACCTCCATTCCAGTATTCCCAATGGTATTTTTCGTCTGTAATTCTTCATCTACATCCACAAAGTCCTCCTCGTCGCTACATGTAGAATCTGACATTACTTCAACTGTAGAAGTAATAACTTCATCAGCTAAATCTACACCATTTTCAATACTGCCTTTGGTAACTGCACTACAAATATTTGAACTACTCTCATACTTTTCTATTTCTTCCATTGTTTGTTCACTATCCCTGATAATATTATTAGAAACATCTGAACTACTACCAGCCTCATCTGTTTCGTCTTTAGTTTCTTCAGGACTCTTTATAATACTGTTAGAAACATCAGAACTACTCTCAACTGCCTGTGCGCTATTTTTATCCTTTTCTTCTTTTGTTTCTTCACTAGCGCTCTTCACAGTCCTACTTTTACTGGCAATAATCTTTGCAATTTCGCTAGGAGTCAGTCCACTATACTCCATCATGTATCTCTGAGCTGGTGTTAGCCTCGTATGAACTGCTTCTTCTTCTTCACTGGAGTCAGAATATCCAAAATCGGCATCTTCGAAATCGGTAAGAAACGACAACGACAGTTGTCTCTTCCCCTTAGAACTGGTAGACGGTACCTCATCTTCGTTGTCTTTTATTTTCGACGTCGATGGTGTCGCCTCCAAAGATAGTTCTATAGCCCTCTTCAAATCATCTTCAAATTCTTGGTCCCCTTTATTCTTCACATTCTTCTCCTCTTCTTTTGTTTCATCGCCTTCTTCGCTCTCTTCAATCATTGGTAAATTTTGTTTTTTCGCATCCTCCATAGCTTGCTTGATATCTTTGATTAGAAGAAATCGTGTATTTTCATCTGAAGCAATCCGATTTCCTTTCAAATTCGTTATAACTCCCTGATCTTTGAGCAATTTCTCCAGCTCCCCCAATGATAAGGAGTGTCCCCCCATCTCTTTCTCTACGTTTTCAAGAGCGATTTGTACTGACTGCCTCTTCAAGAGTCTCTTCATTTGATATGTGGAAAAGTTATCACTTTGAGTGGGCATTTCGTGGATTCGTCCCCACGAAGACTGCTTTCGTGTGTCCTTCAAGTCGGAAAGAATTTCATGCCGAACGTCGGCCGGTAAGGACTTGAATTCGGCACTTTCAGTGTCTATCGAATGTAAGTCGTATCGGGGAAGCCCCGAATCTTCTGAATCCGAACTGTCACTTTGTGACAGTGTAGAGTCCAAAGATTGAGATGGGGGCAAGACGTAAAGTTCGTCATCGTCGCGTTTTGTTGGGGAAGTTGATGCGGTTATAGCTGCTTTGGCTTTTTCAGATAAGACTTTGCTAATAGCGCTATGTTTTACTAAGGCCGATAAGAGGTTTTTGTGGATGCGTTCCGCCTCGGATAAGGTTTTGGACTTTTGCTGGTTTCGTAAAGCCTGAAATTCAGGGTTTTATACACCAAGAAGGTTAAAAATTTGATGCTTTAATTGTTATGCAATGTTACGCCACTGAAATTTGTTGAAAAAGTGCAAAAACAGAGGTTATGTTTGTTTATAGGAGGATTTTCTCATTATTTTACTCACTATGGTTTGTTTCTTGAGAACTGGAACACCTCCATCAAAGACAAACACCGGTTTGATTCTGAAATAAAGCAATTTGCATACTCTGTGGTAGATCCCCAGTAGATGTGCATGAGGAACTGCAGCCCCCTTGGCGTCCTGAAACCCTTTGACGATTTGGTGCAACCAAATCGATACATCTGTCAGATCATGTTAAGGTTATAATCGATCAAGTGTCATAATAAAATGTGACATTTGATATGTCAAAAGGATACCGACAGCTAACACTTTATTTTCTAGAGATTCCAAAGGCACGGGTTTGCCGGAAGGCTCGATGAGCCTCCACAGACCGTGAACTCCCATAATATATTTTCTGGTAAATAATTCGAGGTGTCTGATGTTAAAAATTCCCACGGTCTGAGGCGGCGATGAACGACCGCGACACGAACGTCAGTCAGTTCCCATGATTTAGATGCGAAGAATCATCAAATCAGAGGAAAACAGACCTAATCTCGTCCAGCGGTCTGAATTACATCTCTCAGTATCAAATGTTTGAGAATCGCCGAGGCCACCCACTCTTTCCCACACCATGATTTTCCCACGCCCTGGCTGTAACCCCAACATCCTGAGGGACGGCGGGGGGAGCGGCGCTAAAGGTACCTTCACGCGGGAGGGGACCCATTCATAAACACACTGATCAGTGACGTGCGCCCATATGTCAATAAATACACAATTGAACGATATTCTTTTGTCTCACAGCGGCGGCGTGCGCTCCCCAAATAAGATATCCCCATAGACAAACTTTGTGGAAAATTAAGACGGTTTATTTTTGCGACTATTTAATTTCCCAAGCAAACTTATTGTGTTTATTTTACTATTTTAATTATGAATAATTAAATACGGCTCTCTTTGTTGATACCTTGTTTTTTTCTTTTTAAAATTATTTTGTATACAACTGAGTGATTACGTATAATAATAAATAGCACCTAATTAGAGTAAATCAGCTATCAAGGTGATGGGAATTAGAAAAATTTCTCATCATAAAACCGGTCTTTTTTCTCTCCGCCACTGTCTTGTCATTAACTACCGTTTTACGCATGTAAACCCGCCTTAACGCTACCAAAATTACATAATTTTCAGCAATCCAACCGCGCCCGTCCCGCCGCCCATTCCGTCCGTAAACCCATCCTGGCCCATCAAACCCATCTCAGAAGTCACTTCATCTTGTAAAAAATTCCTATAACGCTCTAATTTGGGCACTTCCTGTGAAAACTTGTCATTTGAAAGTTGGCCATCCTGTCGGAAAATCCTCTCTCCAAACAGGTGTTTTTCGAATGAGATATTGGGGGGCAAAGGAGGGGGAAGCATGGCATTTGTTCTCACCGTGTGTAGCGGTAGCCGTGCGAAGAGTTGGCTGTGAGTGCATCGATAAAACAAACGCTTGTGCGATGCGGCCTACTTGATTAAGTGCTTTGAAATGCCCCATCAGTACGGATTGCCGGGCATAGCCCACGCTCAGTCGCCCCCGACGCCACCACCGCAGCACGGGGCTATGTATTCGCGGTTTTCGGGGGCGGTGGTGCCCGGGGGTTATCGCGGTGAGGACCGGAGGCTCACCCGAGAGGCCATGGAGCGATACCTGAGGGACCGGTCCGACATGGTTATCGTCATTCTGCACGCTAAGGTGGCGCAGAAGTCCTACGGGAACGAGAAGAGGTTTTTTTGTCCTCCGCCTTGTATATATCTGTTCGGGGATGGCTGGAGGCTTCGCCAGGAACAGATGCTGAGGGAGGGCGAGTCAGAACAAGCCTCCCAATTGTGCGCTTTCATAGGAATCGGGAACTCGGATCAAGACATGCAGCAGCTGGATTTGAATAATGGCAAGCAGTACTGTGCCGCGAAAACTCTGTACATCTCCGATTCGGACAAGAGGAAACACTTTATGTTATCCGTGAAGATGTTCTACGGGTCGGGACACGACATTGGGGTGTTTCACAGCAAAAGGATCAAAGTTATCTCAAAGCCTTCAAAGAAGAAGCAATCTTTAAAAAACGCTGATTTGTGTATTGCGAGCGGTACCAAAGTGGCGCTTTTTAACCGACTTAGATCTCAGACTGTCTCCACGCGGTATTTACATGTGGAAAATGGACATTTTCATGCCAGTTCCACACAGTGGGGTGCTTTCACTATACACTTATTAGACGACAATGAATCTGAAAGTGAGGAGTTTCAAGTACGTGATGGATACATTCATTACGGTTCTACAGTCAAATTGGTGTGTTCTGTCACTGGAATGGCCCTTCCGAGACTCATTATTCGAAAGGTAAGTGCTGGAAAAAACATCAACAAAAAGTTGAGGTTATGTTCCGGCAACATGTCAATCTTTATATTCCATCAAAATTACACAAAGAGAGGCTTTATACACGCAATTGTAGTCAAACAATGACCGATTTGAGACAAAACAACGATTTTCCGAGGTTTCACTGGGAAAAATTTGATTTTTCTGTTCAAATGTTGATCCGGCTTGTGATTGGCCCATTTGAGTACACATGTCGGTTCCCATCCTATCAAAACCAGCCATTTACGCGGGCGTTACAAAGCCTATTTTCGAAAATAAAAAAATTGCTTATTTGATTTTGAAGTAATGAAATTAGTTAAAATGGTCAAAAAATATGTTTTTTTTAATGTAAATAATAAAACTTGCTAGAAACTATTCATCGAGTAATTGGTGAAACAAAAGTTACTAGATACTACGCGCTAAAAAATAGTACCGAGCCAAATTTAAAATGTGTTTTATTCCACATTTTGAACCGTCAAAATATTAATATTTAATTGTCTTCAATAATCAAATAAGAATATATCCACATACCTGAGGATGGTGCTGAATATTCCTTTACACGTTCATCTTAATGTCTTCAACTAACCAAAAACGAATCTCATACGCCACTCACACCTCCACAAACACTACATTTTTACTAATACGTAAATTAAAAACGATTATTAACACTTCAAAAACAGTCTTAAACATAAATAATCTGAAATCTTTCACACAACAAATTTTGAATCCGAATTTGACAGAATCACAAAATATACCAGGTGCAAATTCGGTTGATCACAAACGGGCGAATTTTACATTACTACCAATGTAACAGTTGACCAATTGTTAGGGATTTTAATGTTTTTAGTATATTTAAAAAATTCGCTGGAAAAACTATTGTAATAAAAGTTTCAATCAGTCTTATTATGTAAATTTGAGTAAATAATTATTACTGGTCACTTTAATTATAAACATAAAAGGTTATTGTTTGTAGACCAAAAATGCAATTATTTGTTTTATTATTGTCATTATCTTCGGTTCTGCATTATTTCATTCCGAAAAACTACTTTCATTATTGTTTTTTACTGGGCGTTTTGGTCGTTCGGGGTTGACTTGAATTGTTCACTTCCAGGTAGACAAGCAACAGGCCCTCCTCGAAGCCGACGACCCCGTCTCTCAGCTCCACAAATGCGCCTTCTACATGAAAGACACCGAACGCATGTACCTCTGCCTCTCCCAAGAGCGCATCATCCAGTTCCAAGCCACCCCTTGCCCCAAAGAGCCCAACAAGGAAATGATCAACGACGGCGCCTGCTGGACTATCATCTCCACCGACAAGGCCGAGTACCAGTTTTACGAGGGCATGGGCCCGGTACGGTCCCCTGTGACCCCCGTGCCCATCGTGCACAGCCTGCATTTGAACGGCGGCGGCGAAGTGGCAATGCTGGAGCTCACCGGAGACAACTTTTCGCCGTCGCTGCAGGTGTGGTTTGGGGACGTGGAGGCCGAGACGATGTACCGGTGCCAGGAGTCCATGCTTTGTGTGGTCCCGGACATCTCGCAGTTCCGAGGAGAGTGGCTGTGGGTGCGACAGCCGACCCAAGTCCCGGTTTCCTTGGTGCGGAATGATGGGATTATCTACGCCACGGGATTGACGTTCACGTATACCCCGGAGCCGGGGCCCCGGCCGCAGTGTTTGCCCGCGGACGAGATCATGAGGCACGGACAGAGGAGCGCGGCGGCGGCACAAGGCCAGAGTCAGGCGTTGACGCAAGAGGCGGCTTGGAATTCGCACGGAGGGATGCATTAGGGGGTGGGTAGGTACATGCAATAAAGTTAGATAGGGTATACAACGATCACTGTGTTTTTTCATCTCGAACGTGGACACTCAGTATTAAATTTTGAGATTGGAAGTGGCACGAGTCTTTTGTATTATATTTTATTGTGATATGTTTTTTTTTTCCGAATAGGCTGGTCAAATGAGAAAATGATTTAAAACATTCTTGGTAATTGATTTAAAAGTGTACAGTGTTTTCAAATTCGGTTTATATACATATTGACTATTATTGATTAATATTGATATTTGAGCAACCAAAAATAGTAAACTAGAAGCCAATCTTCTTGATGATATTTTGGCTGATTTTGGCAACGCCGTGTCCAGTTGATTAGCCTAACACTTGTAGGGTGTATTTTTAAGCGTTGTAAAGAGATACTTAGCCTTATGAACAAACCAAAGTTATGTAAGTTTTCTAATTGTCAGTCAGAATAATGAATAGTCCAACAATTTTTACTTAGTATTAAGTAAATTATGCTCAATTTGCCGATGAATAATAAATAATAGGTAATAAAAAAATCTCGACAGGAAAAACATGACAACAACGAATTTATGGCAAATGTAATGAGTGTAAATATTTTTATTAGTATTAAATTTTATTCTACGTAAAAATAATACATAAACAATCTGTACATGCTGCATATTTTGTAGAAATAAAAATTATTTAAATAATATCTCATATTCTTCAAACCCCTAACAACAAAATAAAAAACCGATGATAAAATAAATAGAAACTATATACACAGCGAGATTCAGGAAGGCCTTACGCATTTTCACATCCATTCAAGTCAGTTCTCACGACAAAATCTCATTTTCTTAAAAATGATTATTCATACATGTGGGAATTCGGGTCTTAACAATGGTATTATTTTTAATAATTACTTTTCCTACTGTATATTAATTAGTCGGTCCCATTCCCACAATTGAGGTGGGAATTCTCATCTCATTTGATTCTTAAACTTCTCTGTTTACTCATATTCGTCAACATGAGGGAGATATAGGAGGTCAGAAGGTCGTCCATCTTGTAGCCGAGGGAGGTTTCACACAAAAGTTTCGAACCCCTGACAAGGTTGCCGATGGTCATGTGGAAGTAAGTGTTGCCCGACGACCAGTTGGATATCCGCGTAAAGGGGTGAGTGACGAGGATTTCCTAAGACGCAATTCGATTAATTGGAGATGTTAATTAAAGAATAAGCAGTTAATGAATGAACATGCAGCAATAACAGGAAATCATATAATCATGAAAATGCTCTTGATGGCTTCACATAATAACATACGTGAGAATCCAAAGGCTATTGTTGAGACGGCGAGGTTCATTAATGGGTTTATTATCTGATTAGGCGAATGAGGGAAATTGGAGGATTTAAAAATAAATCTGAATTTGTATAATTTTGCTATTTGGGATTATTTACTTGTTAGTGACACGAGAACATTTCACTTGCGTTTAGTAACAAATAAAATTCTATGTTTCATTGCAAAACAAAAGGAAATTATACATATATTCCCGTAGGTATGCACTATTTTTTTTAGTTCATTTTATTTAAGCTTATATCTTTTGTTTTTGAGTTAGCACGATTTCAGAATTTATTGAAAAATACAAACTTTTTTATACTTTCTGGATTTGAGTCAGGTTCCTTTTTTATTGTATTAAGATTTTTTTTTGCTTTTGATTAACTAATTTTATTTTTACTTTTATTAATACTATAGGCACATTTAGTACAACTATTTTAAAAACCAAACACAAATTTGCTTTACCGTTTAAATTTTTCCTTCAAAAGGTTATTTTCTAAGAAATGCTTATATTAACTTATTTAATAAACAAAAAACCTCTCATTTATTGTTTCTTTTTTTAAGAAATGTTGAATAATTCCACTTTTAATACGTAAATTTACTAAAAACTCTTATAAAATTAGAATTATTTTTACGCCTTAATGATATTTTTAACTTAAGTTTTTGCTCCTTGGAAAGAAAACAAACAAGAAATAAATTTCAAGCTCAGACAATAAAATCGTTAGAAAAGTTTTTCCCATCTCATTAAACTGAATTCTTAATATATAAATAATTGTTGTGGGAAATAGTCTAATGCTACTCTTTTTTTATTTTTCGAACATAGTTTATACAAAGAACTGTAAAAATTCATCAAACATAAAAATGCAGATTTTGTCACTCTTTCCCCTGTTACTAGACTTTTCCATTCAGTAGATGGAATGAGACATATTTCTGCTTGTAGATCATATCAACTCTCCCACAATTATAACAAACACTTGTTTCACAACATTTTAAAAAATAAAGTACTCTTATTGCAAAAACAACGGTCTAGTATAGACAACCAACAATACACGTACCTTCGTATTGGGATGAATTAAGCTAACTCCGTGTTTATTTATCGCAATTAGCAACATTTCGGGATAATTCGGATCAGTGGTTTGTTTGACTTCGAAAAATGCCGAGCCGAAAGTCGGCCACCTGTACACAATCTTCAAAAAGGTGATTTTCGCATCTTCAGGACTCATTCCGGCGTCTTGGTTATAGGCGGCTACGATTGCCCTCTTCCAGTCGTTTGCGCTCTGAACTTTGACTAAATCGGCAGGAATCAACTCGCGCAACATTTGTCTACGAAATAGGAGATTATTTTTCGCTCACGATATGTAAAATGTGACTTACGGTATCGCTTGCAACTCCTGTTTGCTTTCGCCGAACCGGACCCTATACACCAGTGCTGCAAGCTTCGCAGCTTCCTCTTTTGTACACTTGTGGTAACCTCTGATCAATTTCGGGAGCTCCTGATGGAAGTGGAAAATAAGATCAGCGTTTTTGTCTTTTCCGGGTACTGTATTTGTCCATAATTTTTTCATGAAGAAGACTTGATAAGAGAATTGAGGGGTGATTCCATCTCGGGTTGGTCGAGCTTTGCGGATCCAGTCGGTCAAATGGCGAACGAAATCGAAGAAAAAGTCACCCTCGGGGACGCTTATCACCTTATCAGCGATCTTGACGAAGAGACTAAAGCCTTCACTTGACCTCAAATTGAGTCTTTGGCTGATGTTCTGGCAGAAATCCTTCGCTCGGGTGCTTGAATCGACCTCAAAAGCTTCATCTGTGTCATCGGGGAAGTACACCTTGTGAAAAATTTGCGTTGTTTTGTGTTGAATAGCCTCAACTTCCACCTGGTGTGGAGGATATTTTCTCTGACCATTCCTCAAGGTTTTTTGGAGCCTTTGGAGGGAGTCCTGCGAGATGGGATGTCTGCGACTCCTCAAAAACATAGTCAATTCCTTCTGCAGACTTTGCGAACATGTGAACAAACCGGTGGCCAACCACATCAATTCCCAACCCCTCTCCTCTGACAGTCTATTCCTATTATCCGTCAATTGTTTCATAATCTGGCAATAAATCTCATCCCTCAAAATCTCATGTTTGAGGGGCCCGTCAAAAATATGATCAGTGTACTCATTTCCGAGCCTCGGCCGTTTCGAGGGTAAATCCCCCATGTATTTCAATATTGCGCTGAAGGCAAAACACGCCTCTTCAGCAAGCTCCTCCTTCATCAATAATTTCTTAAGAAGCGGTTGTTTGATTGGCTCGCGGGAGTGACGCCATAGATCGTCCACGCCCCGTCGTGCAGACGTCAAAGTTAAAGCCTTGGACATGGTGCGTTTGATTGGTGGCCGGAAATGATCAATGGCGTATTCGACAAGTGTGTGTGGCCGATCGCGCGATTCCGTCCCGTTCACTGAGTACTGCTGGCTGAGTCTCCGCCCATGCTCCGCCCCCTCGATCGAAAACAATTGGAGAATATCAGATGGGGGTTTGGACATACAAGGGAGAACGTAAACTGTCTCCGCGGGGAAGTCCCCTTTTTCCATTGTGCGTTCGCAGCGGCCCACGCACCACCCCGAATTCAGGACGGTTTCTCCAGTACTGTCTTCCTCAAGGACGATTAAATCCCCTTTTTGGAATGTTAGGAAACTTGATCCTTCGCCCGGGGATTTATAGTCCTGGARCGCAATCACAAATTTCGAGCGTTTTTTCAAACCTTCAAGGAAGTAGACTACTAGATCACGGATGTCTTCAGCGTTGGGGCTCTGGAACGTGAATTCTTCGCCCCGGACTGTACTCAAACTGAACGTTTGCGTGAAAACTTTGTTGGTTTTTTGACTGGCGACTGTCGTGATTTCCGGGAAGGATAACTCCAGAAGAACCTGCTCCTGGTCATCCACAACGTAAACTCCGGTCCAATTAACCGCAATTATGACATCATTCTTGGGTAAGTTAGGTCCGGAGTTGCGGTACGCCTCGTAGAACCTCGAGAAGAGCAAAGGCCACTTGAACTTGGCATAACTAACCACGTCCTCTTTGACTCTTAAAATTGCCGCTTTCTCCTTAACGTAGTAACTCTTTTTGTAGGCTTGCACGACAAGCGCCGCCCACCGATCAACAGCTTTCTCCACCCCCGTCAAACAATAATCCGGGATATAATTGGGCAACAAAGTCAACAACCTGTCAACGTTCAAATCCGTGTTAAATTCAATATAATACTGCTGGGCCGCTATCATCGCCAAATCCTCCTCCTTATCACACCGATACTCCCCAAACTTTACCCCGCGCACCACTTGCTGATAAATCAAATTGGTCGCAACTTGATCTTCGGTTGGTTCATGCCACGGCGCAAAAATCTCCTTCCGGAAGAACAACCTCCAAGGGGCGTTTCTCTCTTGTGCCCCCTGCTCCTTGGCGTATTGTTCGCATTGGGAGATGGCATCCATCACGTGATCGCCACCACTACCCAATGATGACACTTTATCAAACAATGCGATGTAAAGAGAGAACCCAAATTGGTCCTTCAGACCGATTTTGTCAGACAATTGATTACATAATTCGCGAGCTGTGGTCGCAGAATCGGCCAAAAGAGTCTTAGTATTGCCATCCATGAAGGTTATAGGCAACATGATTGGTTTCTTAGATTTGGTCGCTTGTAATTCCAGCCAACTCGGGGGTTGGTTTCGAGTACCGTTATTAAAGGTTCGTTTAAGTCGGTCCTCGCAATACGGGGCATACCCTGGAGGACCTTCCCGTATAAAAGCCCTCAAATAATTGACAAATTTCTCTGATGGAGCAAAACAGCCCACACAGAGGGAAAGGAGAATCCATCCTCTAGCGTGAGATGATTTAGAGGGATTGTTAGTCAATTGTTTGCAGATTTGACAGTAGATTTCGTCTCGGAGTTCGGCTCGGAGGATTCCATGGCCTATTATAAAGTGGAGTTTTTCCAGATTTGAGGTCGGGCGTGACTCTAGCCACGACTGGTAGCTGTCAGCTGTATATTCTTCGTCTTGGAGCTTCCTTCTCACATCTTCTCCGAGTTTATTCTTTCGTTTCAAAGTCAATGAGACTAGTTTATTTCGAATAGAGCGTGGTTTCTGCTTCATGAAAGAATCCGGGTCTAGACCCATCATCTGTGCTTCTTGAAACTCCTTACTTCGGATAAAATTTCGGCCCAAAGTGGCCGTCACTTTAGACATCACAGAGGTGTTATCGCGGTCCATGGTGTGGTACCTTGGTTCGGGTAAATCCCCTGTGAAGCGGAGAATTGTAACCCATAGAGCCTGCGCGGCGAGTTGGTCCCCCTGCGTGTGCAAGGGCAAAAGTGGGTGTTTCAAGGGTTTGCGTGAATACTGGTGGCCCACATTCCCTTGGAAATACGTCGCTGCGAATTTCTGGAACTTGAATTCGGACAAGTCTTCCTCGTCTTCGGATTGGGTCTGCATGGGGCTTATGATTTCGGACTCGTTGGGTTGCGAAGGCAAGTCATTGAAAACGGAGGTTTCTCGGCCCGGAGTTGGGGCCTCGCTTGAACTATCAGGGAGGAAATCAAACATGGCTTCGACTAGTTTCGAGTCGTCGACCGGCTCATCGGCCTTTCGGGCCGCATCATTGATTAGGTTTTTCTTAACTTCGACTCGTCTTCGCTCCTCCATCTCCAATTCCATTTCTTTTCGCTCTAATTCGTACATGCGCTCGCGGTAGTTCTGTTCGGCTATCTCTTTCGCTCTTTTATTACCGGCGTCTTTCAACTCGCGTTCTTCCTTTTTCTTGAGTCGCAAAGCCTCGACATGGCTTCGTCTTTCGAATTTGATTTTCTTGAATTTGCGTTGGGCTATCATGCGACGGACATGTGATTGGATCTTGATGATGGCCCACATTTTGTGGCCGTACTCCCGTCGGACGAGATACCCCCGAGCGTGGGCTTGGAGCCCCACAATATGACCTCTTAAATGCCTGAAACGGTGTGAGAGGACCCGAGCCCTGATCAGGGCTTGCAGTCTCATGTAACCCACGCGCATCCTTTTGTACCTCTGTCGCTGAATATAGCCCTTCCAGTACTTTTGTATAATCATAGTGGCAGCCCTGAGTCGCAGGAAGCGTCTCCTGTAGACCCACCCTCGGATTGAGCGTTGCAAAATCAGGATTTTCTTCGTAAGAACTCTGTCTCGTTCCTGCTCCAAAAACAGATCATGAGCGTCTTTGAGAAACACTTTCGTGTGCCCAAGTTGGTAGTCCGAACGACCCAAAACAGAGGCACAAATTTTCGCAGTTGCCGCCCTGCAGTCGGTTCGATGAGCCGGGGGAATCCCCGAGATGAGAAACCTGTATCTTTCGACAAACTCACTGAAGCTGTGTCTAATTGGATAACCGGCTCTTCGTATCCGGATTGTTTCCATCATCCCGGAGTATCTCAACTGGCGGCAGCACAAATTCCGGTCAAACATCATGGGTTTTTTGAATTCGTTCGGTTTGATACACCTTATGAAAAATGGTTGGCAGTTTGATAATGTTCTCATGAGGGAGTCGAGACTTTTCTTGAATTGAGTTGAGAGTGTTGGGGTTCTTTTCCGGGTCTCTGACCCCATCCCAATATCATCGGCAAAAATCTGCTGCAAAAACTTGTTTTTTGAGATTGCCACGAGTTGGAGGAGGTCGCCACTGAAGGTGTCCCGGTTTTTCTCCAAGAAACTCCGAGTGTCGTAAAAGACAATCCCGGCAAAGTGGTTCAAACCAAAACTTGTGTTGATGTCCGATTTCGGTTTGAGGTAGTTTCGATGACTCCCGTGTGTCTTGTGCAACTTGGCCAACATGGTCTGGTCAGTGCCTTTAGGAAACTTGCTTTCTTCGTCGATCAAAGCCATGATATTGAGTTGTTTCACCGCAATCAAGTCAAGCGAGTCTTGATTATCCACAAATTCGATATGTTGCCAGTTGATCCCCTCATTATTATACTCCTCTTGCTCTAACTTGAAGATATGCCTCACAAAAAACTGCTGGAGATTCTCATTCGCGAAATTAATACAAAACTGTTCAAAACTATTATGATTAAAATTCTCAAACCCGAAAATGTCTAAAACACCGATTGAACTCCTCTGTCGCTCCTTCGGTCTGTATATTGCACTGTTGATTTTTTTGACTATGTGGACGAAAAGTCGGCCGTAAATGCCTTTAACGAAGGCGTCTCGAACGTCAACGCTTTGCTCGCGGGATAAGGTAGAGACTACGGTTTCCCCGTGAGCAAAGAGTGTTTTCCTGGTGAGAGCGTCGATGAGTGGTTGAGGGGGCACTCCCAGGAGATTGGCAACGCGATGGACGTTGGTTGGGTCCGGGATTTCGGTCGCGTCCAAGTTGTCGACGACTGTAGCTTTGTATTTAATGTTTCCAATGTGGAGAAGTGCAGCCAACAGTTTCATTATCTCCCAAATCTCCGGGTCGGAAAAGAGAAGAACTTTCATGGCGCTGCGAATATCAGCGAATTCGGCAGCGTCGTCTCGGCCCTCGCACGTGATACAACCTCCCTAAAAATAAAAAATAAAAGTAATACAGATAAACACAAATTAAAAAATCAAATTTTCTTACCCCCGTGAGATATCTAAATTGACTAGCATCGCCCAACTCGAGTTTCTTCTTCTCCTCCTTGCCCAACCCGGCCAGCAGACAATAAAAAACATGATAATTCCTCTCGTCTGGATTCTGGGACACAATCCGGCTTTTTTCGAGTAAATACTGCTCGATTTTGGCACCTTCAATGACTCCGCTACTGTTAAAATGGATATCAATGTATTTCCCAAATCTTGAACTGTTATCATTCCGGACTGTCTTCGCATTACCGAAAGCTTCCAAAATAGGATTAGCTTCCAGGATTTGTTGCTCAATCCACGAATGTTTGCCGCTGATGGCCGCCAAGTACTGGAGAATCAACTTCGTGCTCTCTGTTTTACCGGCCCCTGACTCCCCCGAGATGACCACACACTGGTCCTGGCCGTAGCGCCTCATATTTCCGTAGCAGTTGTCGCCGATGGCGAAAATATGAGGGGGTAATTCCCCGATTTTGCGTTCCTTGTACAGTTTTATCTGCTCGGCGGTGTAGATGGGGAGGACTTGGTACGGGTTGACTGCGACCAGAATCGAGCCTGTGTAAGTCTGAAAAAAGCAGAGGAATTTTTTGCAAGTTGCAAATTTTGATTCATACATAAATGAGATTTTCGTTGTATCTGATGTGTAAGTTCCTGAGAATTCCTGCCTCGTGGAGGTCCCCCAAACCGATCATGTCTTCGACTCCATGGATGGACGTTGCGTGCATTGCCTTAATTCGGCGATCTGGAGACAGCCAGTGCTCCTCGCCGTCGTCATCTCGGACTGCAATTCTTCGCCCCTCGGCGGAAACCACCTTAGCACCGATGGCCACATCGAATTCATTTCCAGAAATGGGCTCGATCCAGATGTAATCACCCTAGAATCATATTTTTTTACACACCTGTTAAAGCATGATTAAATTAATTGCAGGCTTGCTGCACGTTCCACGTAATTACTGGGTTGGGATTTAATAAGAAAAAACATTAGATAGAGATTTAATGATTAATAAATTCGGTTCCTCGCTGTGAGAACCTTGATGACCTTTCAGGTTCAATAACTCGTACCGATTTGGAAAATTGACAATTTCCTAGGAGTCATTTGCGCCAGATTCATCTCAGGTATAATTGATGCATTTCCTCAATTTCTTGTCACTCATGATTAATGGTAGAAGTGATTAAGCGGAAGTTGGCTCATTGTCGTGTTATCAAAAAAATATTTGAAAAATGTGTAAAGGGGGTCAGAAAAACGGCACAAAACCGTTCATGATGTTGGTATGAGGGGCACGTAAGTGTGCTCGTTTCGACTCTAGTGAGAAAATCCTTCTTGTTGATGATTGGAGAAGTTTCAAGGACCGGAAGAATTGAAAGTTGGTTAAGAAAACAGCTGCAATGACCATTCTTCACTTCACTGAGCAAAGAAACTTGATTGAGCAAAATGGAATTGTAACGTCACGGGTATGCCAGTGGCGGGTTTCAGTAGGAGGTAAAAATTAACAAACAAATTAAAAATATAACCAATTTTGATTAGAAATAAATTTTGAATCTTCTGATAACTAGATATACCTAGTGATTTTTCTATCTAAACCATGCAACCATCGCAACTACGTTTTTGAGGTGAAATATAGGTCGCAAAAATTGGTTTTGTTAAACTGCAAACAAAAAATAATAATAAATATTACGTGATGTATACATTACTTTCTTTGTTACTATGTTTATTTAAAATCTTTAATGTTATTATCAACATTTGAAAATTCTCACAATATATTTTAATTTATTTTAAATTTTTCAAAAGATTATGCTAAACAAAGACAAAAATAAACAGATCCACTTGTATCTAATCAAAAAATTAATATAAGATTATCCTTGGACGACCTTGACCTATATTATGTATCACATTTTAATCTAGAAAAAACATTTAAATTATGTAATTGTTTATTATTTTTTCTATTTGTATTGTTTTCTTCTCTTAAGACGAGGTTCAACTTGAATTTTTCTCTGTAATGTTTTAAGCCTATTTAAAATTTCCTTCGAATTTAGTATTTCTTTACCAAAAATAAAAAAACAAAAAACCTAAAAACAAAAATAACCATTCTTGCTTTTAAGGGGATATAATTTTCACCAATTTAACTTAAAATTATTTTTTACGGTCGAAAATTTCTCCTAAAGTTTTTCGAAAACATAAAAAACTTCCTTAAAAGATAATTCTAGAGAATGTTTGACTTTAAAGAAGTTTAATTTTCGAAAAATTCCATTACAATAATGATGTGTTAATACTTTATTGTCAAGAAGTCTTCAAAGGTGTTTCCATAATTTTATTGATACGATTACAATAAAAATAATAATAAACATACACAAGAATAAATCTTTTTGATTCCGAAATTTCATTTTCTGTAAAATTTTATAATAACAAATATGATTTTGTTTCTTTAATTTCCTGTAGAATTTTATCAAAAATTCTAAGCTAAAGTAGGCAAAAAATAAAAACAAGATCATCACAGCACAACCTTAAACAATCAACAGATTGTAATCTAGATAACAAATATTCAAATTAATCAAATTACTTGTTTCTTTTAAAATTAGGTACTTGCTCATTTAGTACTACTATTTCATTTCTATTACGTTTTACTTTTTCCTTATAAAAGTTCAAGAAGTTTACTTTAAGCCTATAAGAAACATCGTCTAAATTCATATTTTATTCCAAAAATAAATAAACAAAAAATCTTTCGTAATTAAAAGTAACAATAATAAAATTTTCACGAATTTAAAACTTAAAATCTCATTTTTTCATTTTTTCCATTCTTAAATTATCTAAATTCTAGACAATTGTTATAAGAACTCTAATTTTCACAAAATTTGGCTTACAATAATTACGCATAATTTTTTTACTGTCAGAAAGGTTTTAAACGTTTTCACAATTATTATTATTATTGCAAAGAAATACATAAATACAAGACTAGAGTCTTTAATTTCAAATATTTATTTTATCTTAAAAGTGAAATGTTTATTTTTTTTAATTAAAAACAAAAAATTTCAACTAATTTTATGTAATTTATTTAGTTTTTGAAGAATTTTAGCATAGTCCCGAACGAAATAAAACTCTAGTAGACGACTTGTTCCTTTATATATTTTATTTTCCTTAGTTTACATTTTTATTTTTAGAATAACAATCTTCCATTGTAACAACTCAATCAGCGAAATGAGATTAGAATTCTCTAACAGTTTAAACAATTTTGCAAATCCAAGTGTTATTATCACATGATAAAACCGATTAATCATTAAATTAAGTGTTTGACACAATATCACTCAACACAAATATGCTGTCGTACTCAGCCATAAATTATCTAATTTAATAGACATCATCACATTCGTAAATATTGAAAATGTTATAGTTTCGTATCTACTAAATAGTAATTTTAATTCGGTTCCGCTTTTAATTCCACTTTTAATCATCTCTAATTAATTTTGGCCCGCCACTGGCTGCCCAACGTCTCAATACCAATCGAGAAGTGTGTCCAAACAAATCAAATCCTTGTTTGCAATTACCCAACCTTGACAGTGCGGTTTTTGCAAAAAATCGCTCCAAACTGACCCCAATCTAGGCCAAATCGGCCCATCGGTCACTCTCTAAATTATGCAAACAATGCGAGAGAGGAAAACGGATACAGGAAGTGAGTCTTCATGGTTTGATGGTCGTGGTATCGGGGAGATACGTACTATATGAAACTTTTGTCTCTTTGTGGCACTTCCGGAGGCTTTTCACCCCCTTAATCAGAGTATTAATAGTCGATTAACGGTAAGTCTAGACGAGTCATCGCGACTTTCGCCAATAGAGAAACTCTCATTACAATAAAAATAATAATTATTAATAAAATAAAACCACTTACCCGTGTCACTATAACCATGGTGGCGACGCATCAATGTTCCTGCAACGAAAACAATTTAACAATTTTCCAAATATTTGACATTATCATGATGTGATAAGAGGCATATTTTTGACGATTTTCATCTAGAAAGAGTACGACAGTTGAAGAACGGCCCGATATCGCGAGAAAGTCAATTAATAGTTGAATTATCGTTACGACATTTTGTAAAACCGGCTCTTGTGTCCATAATCCAAGGCTTTCGACTCGTGCTTTGTTGGCAATGCACTTCTGCAAACGCGACTTTCGGTTTCTCGATGGGAAAAGTGACGGAAAATGGAGCGAATCGCGTGATTTTTGCAAAATTGCAGTCATCAAGTGCCTACAATATATTGTAATTTAACAACCTTGGATCGTCCTTTGACAAGAAAATTGCATTAAGTGGGTAATAACAGTACCATTGGGGCTTTTCGTTTTTGTGTAATTTGGTTTGGTAGAAATGTACCGTTTTTACGCCTACTTGGTTCTCGCGAAGGCCACGTTTTGTTCGGTTTTAGTAACAATAGTAATTCTTTCACTTACTTTTTGTTTATTGTTCACTATTTATTTGTCCTCAAGTTTTTTCTTTGGGAAATGCACAAAAACTTGCGAAATTTGTTAGAAGTAAATGGATTTCCTCACGATTATTTATTTATGGTCATGTACGGGATAATTCAGATTTGCGATAAGTGATTTTTCAGTACTTTTCAAGGTGTAATTTATGAATGAATATTTACAAAATTTTAATCTTCTCATATTTTAACTAAAATTACCATTACAACCATGTAGACATGTACTTCTTTTTTTAATACGTTTACCACTACCTTTATTCAAAATTATTCTTACTCCTCCGCTACTAAAAAGTCTTCAAAATTTTTTTAAAGCAAAATTATAAACTATAAAAATCTCTCACATTAACTCGAAAAAATTTGCCTAGAATGCGTCTAACCTCCACATTTTCTCTAGTTTTCAGCAATGTTTGAGACCTTTTAATGTCTTTCATAAAGCAAATAGTGTTTATCTGTCGCAATATTGCCGTGCACATATCAGGGTATTTTTGTATAATTTAATTTTTTTGCTCCGTACCTAGTACAGGGTGCTGCATTTTGGATGTCCGAATAGGGAATCTCCGAAAATAAGAGGTTTAGGCAAAGACAAGTACTACATTCTGGGGCTCATTTTTTGAGAAAATAATATTGGTTAAAACCGCATCCAGCTATCGTCTTTTGTTTTCGACTTATAGACAAAAATTGACATTTCAGCTAAATCTAAAAAAATTCATATCTTCGTTATTATAGAAGACACACTTTTTTACGTAGAATTTAGTAATGTAGTTAACAATTTTTTTCAGTTGTTTGTTTAGCAGTAATAAAATATACTTGTATTTTTTTAAATGGGAATCATAGATGGCTATGTCATTTTTAAAAAGCTTGTTTTTTTCTTATCTAAAAAATATATATTTGCAACAAATTATTATAATACATTTTTAGCAAAAAATTATCTTTGATTTTTGTTCGCAGTTGGCCATGAAAAAATGTTGCATCTTGAACTAAAAGGATTTAAACTATATTATTCAACCAGTGTCACTAATGAAAGAGTTTTCTAAGTACTAAGTGATGAAAAAGATGCAAAAACAACTTATTGGCAACTTCTAGTGATACATAGAGTGTTGTTAAAAAAAGCCGCTTTAATTCTTCAATAAAATATATTTTATGACACAAAAATGACGATATGGCTATTCAAATACCCAAATTCCGTCTAAGTGGAACGTTTTCCTACCTCCATTAGATCATCAAAAAAATGTTTTTTGTAATTGTGTTGACTGTTGATACATTTGTTTTTCCTATTTTTTGATTTTTTAAAAATATGTAATAATTTTGTTCTGAGGCGCTAGGATATTTGTTCAATGCTTCTACCGTATCGTATTTTTTAAATCTTTATAATTTTATCTATTTTTTCATCTATTTTACAGTTCACAAAACTCTTATTGATTATTATTTACACATTTGAAGTGAAATAGTTTTTCCATGGCCAACTATTATCACACAAAATATGTATTTCACTTTCTAAGTATAGTTATAAAAAAATATTTTATTACAAATATATATTTTTTAGATCAGAAAAAATAAGCTTTTCAAAATTGCCGTAGCCGCCTATGATTTCCATTTAAAAAAATACAAGTTTATTATTACGGTTAAACTAATAACTGAAAAAAATTGTTAACTACATTATTAAATTCCTCGTAAAAAAGTGTAAATAATGTCTTTATTTCAAATCTGTGTCTTTTATAATAACGAAGATATGAATTTTTTTAGATTTCGCCAAAATGTCATTTTTTCTTGATAAGTCGAAAACAAAAAACGATAGCGGGATGCGGTTTTAACCAATATTATTTTCTCAAAAAATGAGCCCCAGAATGTATTACTTGTTTTTGCATAAACCTCTTAGTTTCGGAGATTCTTTATATCTACACCTATACCACCCACTTTAGTTTCTTCCTTATTCTTTTTATTCCAGACAAAGTCAAATCACAAGTTTTTAACATTTTATTTAAATATAATTACCTAATTTAATTTTTTTATTCTTGATAAAACGTCACATTTTCATAGTAATTTAGCATTCATCAATTAGTTTTTTCAAAAAATAAATAGTTCAAACAAAAAACGTTTAGTTCTGTATACTTATTTTTATTCACCCTGTATATTTTCTGTAGTTTCTGTTCTTTCTCTTACAGAAAAAAAGGGACATTATTAAAAAATGTTCCTTTTAGTGTCACATTTATTCACAAATTCGAAATAATAGAATCAGATAATTTTGATCAATTAAAAGTCGCAAAATTTATCCTTGGAGAGACCCACAATTGACAACGACCTCAAATCCATCTACAATTATTTTTATCAAATTTAGGTAAACCTCGGGTGAAAGTTTATTAGAAGTTAACGGACTCCATTCATACTTCATATTTCACATCCTAGGCAAAATTAGGGCCATTTTGCTTAAGAACGAATTTTTTTTTCGAAGACTGACTCATCTTGTAGCAACATTATTTCTTTTATGAAGAAACATAGCGTACAATGTCAAGGTTGCCGAGTCTACGACCTTTGATCTAGACGGCTATACATCGCGAAAGATCAAGCAAGCCACGCGGCAAACATCTCCACGCCTAGTTTTTTCTACTTTCTACTTTAACACACTGTACACTGATCCACATTTCATTGAATACAATGGCTCATCTCTCGTGAAAAAAACGAAAATTCTCATTGTTTCATTCATTAAAAAATGTTTAGATATGGAAAACGTGTAATGTTTACGTAAGGTAGGATCTAGAGTACTGTGTTTCGGTTTCATTGTTAAATTTGGACAGCGTGAGAGATGAGCGGTTTACGACACCGTTTTGATTAACATCGACATAATTAAATTAAGGTCACAATTGAACAATTGACGAAAGTCGAATTCGGCCGCCTAGGATAACGGTGCAGCACTCTGTATATAGTGCGTTTGCTTAACATATGGCTTCCGCGAAAAATTCGCAATGCAGTTAGGAAATTTCGTTTGCAAAAATGTCACATCATGATTTATACAGAGAGTGTCAAAAAGAAAGGTTCAAAATGGGACGAAATTTACATTCGAAAGGATTGTAATTCACACAAATTGCAAAATTTTGACACTTTCTCTACTTTATTCAAATCAAACAATAATTTTGTGCATGTTTTCCCCAGTGATGAAAGAATTTTCCTAAAATAAGAAATGCATCAATTCTGCGATGACCTTTAAATGTCAAATTAACATTGCCAACTAATAAAGCTAATAAAGTGTATTGACGAGTGACGCTTAATTAACTGTGTCTATAAAAAGTTAATTCTTGTCATGACAGTCAGGGAATCGCAAAAATGCTGTTGAAGTGTTAATTTTTAAACCCATTTACCATTTTCTTATCAAAGGTGTCTTTTGTTCGTTATTTCGTCATTAAAATTTTACAGTTAATTCACAAGTTTATAACAATAACGTTACATTTATTACGATGTTTCGTCAGGTGGTGACATGATAATAAATTTTTGTCGAGGAAATACAGACCACTTATAAAATAAGAGAGAAATCTTAAATGTCTCTATGTCTAAGACTAATATTATATGAAAATCTATAAACTCTTATAATAATTTAAATTTGCAATGTAAAACAGACTTTCTATCCATTTTATTTATTTTTGTTTGTATCAATGAAACTTGTGTCTCGTGGCTGTTGATAAGTGCAAATTGTGACATTCTAGAAGTATTGTGAAAGTTAGGTACTGTAAAAAAACATCTAGAATTAATTTGGGAACGCTACATACTACACTAATAGATAAATTGTGTTTCTGAGTTGCCTACGAGTTGACATTTTGATTAATTTAATTAAATTGCCTCCCACAAAAAAATAAATATTTTCTGATTACACTTCATTTCAGCTTAATAAACGACATAACTGATAAATGACACGAGAATGATTTTAGTTTCTTGAATTCAAAAATTCGTCCAGTTATCAAAATCTTGTTGTGACCAATTGTGAGAAGAAATTATCATAATAAAATCAGCCCATCCGTGGAAAAGTGACAGCTGTCTACTACGACCTGTTTCTTTTTTTAAAAATCCTATGATGCTGTGGATGAGTGTTGCCAAATTAATTTAGAAATTCCGTAGTCTTCTCATTTAATTGAGGTTTTTATTTTTTATTGTTCCTCTATTGTGCGAAGTGATTAAGTGATTAAAACACAAAGTGGGTACAATTTCGTTCAATAAACAGAAAAATAGTTATTTAAAACAAAATCACAATTGAAAAGAATGTAGAAGTCGTGTTTCGTTTTTGGGATTATACACACAGTAGATTGATTTAATAACTACCTAAATTTTGTTATTTCTGTTTATATTTTTCTATGAGTTTATGCAGATTTCATATTTTCTTTCCAATATTTCCATTTTACTTACTTTTTATTGCTGTTTTTTTTTCAGTTTTTTGCTTAATTTGAAGTGAAAATTCTAAGACCTAGTCGACGTAGTAAAAATGATTTTATAAAATCGCAAACCTTTTGTTAAACAAGGTTGAAAATCCAAGGCCACACCTTCGACATTATTTTTGATGGTGACTGTACACAGTAACTGTTTTTAATTTCTTGTTTTATATTATTTTGTCTTTAAGTAGCTTTTGTTTTATTATTTTGTTGCTTTGTTTATTTCCCATGTTTCAATAACTTGTTGCTCTTTTACTTTTTATTCTTTTCTGTTAGGTACAACTTTAGGTACTTAAGTACAATAATACTTTTCCTTATTATTTAATCTAAACTGGAAAAACATGTAAGTAAACAATAAAAAATGATGTACCATGATGGATGGTACTAATAAAAGCTATTGTTGTTCCAATGATTGTCACGGTGTTAATACAAACAATTTCAATGGTAATTATCTCTGCGAAGCGACTAATGTCCTATCTTGCGTAGAAAATGTGGCCCCATGTCTACATATTTTACGCCAAAATAAAAATTCCACGAAATTTGGATAAAATGGCAACAGTGGGTTCAGGTAAATTACCTGTATCTCACGCTAGGTAAAGTAGGCGTATCGAAACCTTGCCCAAATTACCCGGATCTGCCCCATCCACGTGACTGCTTACAAAACAGCTTACTGTACATACAGTAATTGTTTGTATTAAACAATGATAAACCATATAGATAACAGTATTTACAAGACACGGCGTCCAAGAAGAGAATAGCGGAATGTATGTGGACTTAAGGCAAAGTACCGGTAAGTCCGAAGAATGTCTAACATCTCATCGTAAAAAACTTGTTATCCGAGCCGACACCTGTTTCCAATCCCTAACTCATCGGATTTCCATCGCGAACTCGCTTTCCTCGACTTCTTTCCGGAGGATGGTAGAGCGTGAAGATGCCTCTGGCCGTAAAGAAACGCAACGTGGATAGACAGACTTTGAAGGAGTTGGTAAATTTACCTCAGTTTTATAATGTAATCCTTATCATAATGATGGGTAAATTCAAAGTGGACACACACCAACTCGCGACACTTAACACCTCATTTGGTCCCGGTACTAACGTTCCGCCGCACTCAACTATCACCAAATGGTCAAGTTTCTGTTACTTTAATTGCTTGCGCCTAGGTAAGAACAGCGCCATCGACGGACAGGTGTGGAAATAGAGAAAGAGGCAGGTGACTGTAGAGGGCACCACGGACAATGTCACGGGTTCGATTACCTCAATTAACGAAATGACTCATCTTTGAGGTGGAGGAGGCAACTCAACAATTTACGCCAAAACTCAAAATCGTGGAAATTTTGAGGTACTGAGATCCTAAATAAAAAAATAATGCTTTGATTTATTTATCGCCCAGTCGGAGAAACTCCAACCGGGCCTCAAAAAATTGTTACAGACTCATTTGTATTGTCCCACTCCACGGAAATCTTTAGTAAAAGGCGAAAGATTTATTCGCTTTGAAGTGAGACCAGAGTACCGAAATTCTTGCAGATGGGAGACTTATACACAGAAGACGATTTGGCAGTCGGAACTTCTAATCGGTCGCGCCCTCTAACGATACACTCTAAGAGTGTTGTAAGGTTCAAATAGATAACAAAGTGATAACGATTGAATCTAATGTTGCAATATTTGTTTTAATTACTAAATTTTCGACGTTCTTTGTGTACTTTTTTCTTAAATAAAGAACTCACAACTCATTTCTGACTCCGTTTTATCTTATGAAAAAAAAAACTTTGCTAAAATATATTACATCAGAATTAGGACCTACAGTGGGTCAGTAGGAACTTTTTATTTATCTTGAAGTCAAAATTCAAAAAATAGGCAAAAAGTTTTTAAATTAAGTTTTACAAAATATTTACTTCTGACGCAAAACAAGTGAATCCAGCTTTTATTATAACTAGTTTATTTTTTTCAGTTTTATTTTAAACATTTAATTTAAAAATTTGTTCTTTTATTTTTAAATTCAAAATTTTATATTTAAAAATATTTATAATATTGGGCATTATAGGCAAATGGTTTTTGAAACAAATTTCTACAAAGGTTTAACTTCTTATTTTTAAAATTGAAAAGTTTTTCAATTTCGATACCCGAATTTTTAGGTTTTAAACACGAAAGTTCGGCATAATTTGGCTTAAATGTGAAATATATCAAACTTAGGATTTTGGATAAATTGGTTTATTCTTATTTCAAAATAACAAATTGAAAAAAGTTAAAACGTTTTTAAACGTAAAAAAGTAAAATGTTTAGTTTATGTTATGACTTTTTCACTTCTTGCTTTAAACTTCTATTTGTCAATTAAAAATTTAGAATTTCCAATCTTTAAATAAGCATTAAAAATAATATATTATTTTTTTTGTTATTATTTTATTAATATTTATTTATTATTTATTTATTTATTATTTATTTATTATTCTATACTTAGGCCAAAAATCAGAGGTAACTCAAGACTCAAATGAGGTTTTTTCAGTTTTTTTAAAGAGTATAATAGATATTTGATTCTGCCATCAAAATTTTTTTACTTTCAATCCGAAATTTTGATGGTGAGCTGAGATATTTTAGATTTGAGGACTAGAATGCCAAATTTTAAGTTTAAAAAGTTTTTGTCAAAATGATAAAACGTTAAATTTAATTAAATTTTGTTTAAAGAAATATAGAAATATCAGGTTGAGTTCAATGTAAAGTTGAGTTAGTGTTAGACAGTCAAAATGAGAAGAAAATTTTAAGTAAAACTAATTAATCAGTCTTCGTAAACACGAGTTTTTTTTCTTTATTTTACTATTTCATACAAAATTTAATAGCCTACATCCTACATCATGGAAAAAGTTAGGATTCATCCACAAGGTCAGTGTTGTTATACATAAATAACCCAATTAAATAAGTACTAGACTTCCGTAAAGTGGAAACTAACAAATTTTTTGTACGTGAATAGTTTTGTTTTGCTGATAAGAGCCAAAAAAGTAACAAGTTGGTGTTAATTTTGTCAAAAACATGAAATTACTCAAACTGCAAACTTTATCACTCCTTATCTGACCCAATTTTCCGAACCTCGACTTTGATTTAAACGTAATTTACAATAGTCGGTTCGATCACCCCAAAATAAACAATTCATAGTGCATAGAACTTCCCACACCTAAACAAAAAATTCTTCCACCTTCACCTAAAAATTTCTTGGCTTTTTTCCAACTCAAACTTTACCGCCATACCCCCACCATCGTCATCCTAGAAACATTTAACTCGGCGAGTTTGGCAACGCGGAATATTCCCGTCACAACTGTCAAGTAGTTCGGAGGCGGTTGTGTCCTGTGATCTCGTTTAGTGTTAAATTGAAATAAAGCCTCTCTAAACCAAGATGAAAATCTGGACGAGTGAACACACTTTCAAGTGAGTATAATGAATTCATGTGGAATTAAGCTAATTGTTGGGAATTCAGTCACCCATGGGAGACCGTGGCCACCGCTGCATGGAGGAAGTATCCCAACCCCCATAACCCGGCAGTGATCGGGACAGACGTCGTGGAGCGAAAAGTCGTCGATGGGGTCCTCCACACACATCGGTTAGTCAGCTCGATTTGGTACTTCCCCAAATGGGCCCAGGCTGTAAGTTACATAAAATTTTCAAATTACTGAAAGGGTGCCAATTTTTTATTTTTAAAACACGTGCGGCATGACGTTAAAGTGACGCTTAACGAGATAACAATGTCTGTCTTTTGTCTGTTACTTAAGCCACGGTTTCGATGAGTGTTCTGGAATGCAAGTGATTGGCCGATTGTGAGCCTTATGCACGGGGCTATAAAGCCACGCGTAGATCCGAGCCTTGTGCACAATTCTGACCTTTGGACAGCACGTGAAGTGCATTCCGAATTGTTGGGACGCGGTCCAGAGTTTGGGGATCAATGAAAAAACGGGTGGATGGACGTAGAAAAGGTCAAGCTTTAATTATTCACAACTGTCTTCCGCAGATATTGATTTCCAATTGAAAATGGAAATCTTGTGGGAGAATTTCCATGACCTGGGAGATAAGGTCGTTGGTAAGGCAAGGTCATGTCGGTATTGTGCCTTATCAACAGGTGAAATATGGGGGAGTTCCCAGAAGACAATGACATCACACTAAAAAAATTCCCCGGAGTAAACTATGTACAATTAATAGAAAATTTTCACTTTCGTTTATTGCATCATTGCTTATACATTATAATTTCTAGTGGTTTTAATCTTGCATAATTTTTACTTTCTTTTCTGGTTTTTTGTTATTTGCAAAAATGCAATTTTTATATTTATCAAAGTTTACAATGTCTTTAAGAGTCTTTAATCCGTTTTAATTAATAAAAATAAATTAATGCTTGCAAAATTATGTTACAGATTTTGTAATTTTTATTGATAAATAAGGATTACAGTTAATTTGGCAATGATAGGATATCAGAGTCGGAGTTGGCTTTGTTTCCAAGCCAACTGAATCAGCTGAAAAATCCTGTTCAATTGTAAACGGTTTATGTTAACTGATTGTTTCATTTATAAATGTTCAGTTCTAGTTTTTCCATAAGATAAAAAAAGAATAAAGTCCACAATATTGCAAAATGTTTCATTTAACTATTTTTTTTTTTATTATATTAGATAAGCAGCACAAATTACCATGACAGTTTTTTCGTAGCCATATTTATATAAAATTGGTTATCAGTGTGAACAAATAAAAAAATACCCAAATAAGATATGTATGTAACAATTTTTTCTTTTTATTTTATAATTAGTATGTATGTATTTATTAAATCTTTTCGTTTGCTTCATGATTTAAAATAATGTTTAATTGCATTGTTAATAAATTGTTTTCCTCTAATTTTAATTCCTTGTAATAGGGCTTGAATCAAGTTGCTTATAGTTTATTAATTAGATTACACATTCAGATGTTATGATTGAAAAGTATTTTTACCAAAGCCAACATAGTTTTCTTACCAAAGACGTAGTAGTTTTGCATTTGCAATTATGATGTGTATTTCACAAGAATTGCATCGTTTATTTAATAATATTTATTAGTAACATGATTTCTTAATTAGAAATTATAAATTAACATGACAATTTTTCCATTCGTTTTTATTAGGACAGTATTAACAATTGAATGGGTCACAAATTCCGTTTTTTAATTTTTCTTTTATTATTATAACAGTTTATGAAACCTGGAACGACGTTTGCTTAGAAATATTCCATTGTTATGTGTTCGTGGGTGGTAGTAGTAGGTGGATAATACGAGTCAAATTCGATTTAGTTTGAAATAATTTTATATAAAAAAATTATTACACTTATGCCTAGATATGTTTTCTCAATGTTACTTCTTTTTTTGTAGTTATTTTTATATCATTAGGAAAATTTTAAGAAACTTTGGGCTTGGTCAAGGTTTTGAGTTATTTTAAAACGACCGGATAAATAAATATAGATATCCTCTACATAGCTAAAAACAATGGTCATACATGTATATTTAATTAACTGATTGGATTAGACTTTACTATTTATAATTTGTATTTTGTCGCAACATTAAACGCTGGCCACACGTGTTTCTTTCCTTTATTGATAGTATTTTGTTTTTACTCAATCTTTATTTTCTTGTTTCAGATAATCGGCTCTGCTAAAGTATGTTACGCCCGCGAGCACTCTGAAGTGGACCCTTTCGCTCGCCGTATGATCCTCAGGACAATAAATTTAACCTTTTGTCGACACATCGCCGTCCACGAGACGCTTAACTACCTCCCGCATCCATCAGACCCGAGCAAAACTCTCTTGAAACAAGAAGCCGTAGTTACGGTGAAGGGAGTCCCTCTCAACACCTACATGGAGGACCTCCTCACTAACAAAATCTCAAACAATGCCGGGAAAGGCAGACAGGCCATGGAATGGGTAATAAAAAAGTTGAACGATGAAGTAAAGGATTTAACGAGGAGCACAGACGAGATCCTTAACCAGACAAAGAAATCCATAGATGACATAGCATCAAGTGCGAAAAAATCAATGGACGATATCTCGCAGAAGGCCAAAAAGAGTTTCGATGATATACAAAATCTACGATCGGGGAATTTCTCAGAATTTTAGTGGAATTGTCAATTTAGGTTTTTTTTTACTTGATTTTGTTGAAATGACAAAGTATTAGCATTTAATTTATTTAAATCTCAACTTAAGTGATTTTAAATTGTTTGTAAGGCTGATTAGTTGGGTACAATTTTTCATCTAAAGTGGGTGCTGTTTGGATTTAATTCAGATATAGTAATTGACATCTTTTAATTACAAATGGCCGTTGCTCTAGTTTTTTACGTTGGGAAATTAGAACAGTTGCGAAAAATTGTACAGAGCTACCTGTTGTAGGGTTATGTGATGTACATTAATTGTAAATAAGTGTTATAAATAATGAAATTTATTTATTGACATTCCTTGAATGAATGTTGTAGACTAGCTGTACATAATTCTTGTTAATAAATTCTCGTGCACTTGAACCGAGTTTTGTCCACTTTATTACACAATTTTAAGCCATGAATCATGGGTGGCACACAGTGAACTTTGTCTGGAGTCTATTGATAAGATAAAGTCACGGCGGTCAAAGGCCGCGGGTTGGGTTAGGTCCGAATCCGTATTTTAGGAGCCTCCCTGGAGTAATTAATTTGCCCCAAAACTACTTTCCGGATGACTTTCATTTAAAATTACCTTCCAAATCCACTCCTTTTGGAGACTGCTTCACACATGGTTATGGTTGCTCTCTTTTCCGTACGTACTATTTCGGTGTATTTATCTCTGTTTAATATAATTGTCGCGACGTCAGTGCGGTCTGATAACCCCCCTTAAACTATGCTAGATGTATGTCCGTGTTTATTTCTTCCATTTATCAGTTTGAGACACTCGAAAAAGCGATAAATGTGAAAGTGTCGGCTCGAAGATGTCAGGTGAACAAGAAGGTATCAGATACAGAAGAGCACAAAGTGTTACGAGAGCTGAAGAAATACAAGCCGTCGAACAAAAAGTCAGGAAATCACAACCCGATAAGCCGTAAGACAAGCATTTCCAATTACCCTTGAAATTAATTGCAGATAATTGTAATTATAAGCCACAATACGCTTTGTAAACACAGTTCATACAAAAAAAAAGGCATTATATAACTCACTTTCCAAAATCGTTTGACATTTTTTGACACTTTTTTGTGAGGTTAGTCAATTTCGTTTGGGGTTTTTAATTTTTTTATTAAACACCGCAAAGTCAAACCAATTATATTCAATAAAAAAATAATACAATTCCGACAGAAAATTACCACATTTAGTGGTAATTAAACCCATAAGTCATACTTGAAGCCATGTGCTTTGCTCGAGTATTCCTACAATTGGCGATTGGTACCACTAACGCCGCGCGAAATTTAAATTTTAGGATACATAAACCGCGCGATTCGCTGCTGTCATGGAATTCGGGCTTCGAGAATTTCACAGGATTTGTCAATTGGGCCTTTTTGTTGTTGTCAATCGGCGGGTTGCGTCTCCTACTCGAGAATTTTATCAAGTAAGTACATATACAGAGTGTTTGTTTTACATGACTGAGACAGGTATGGCATTCGAGTGGATCCGATCCAGTGGTTTTACATACTAACCGGCCAAGATGAACAAGGAACAGAGCATCCGTCCATAGTTTTGATACTCTGTAAGTTTTGTGTGACAAGAAAAAACTGAACAGAAATGGCACCGCTTTTTTACAGATTCGGTGGTTCCCATAATTTTTTGTCTACTCACCGAAAAAGCTCTTGCCGTTGTAAGTATTTCGAGTAGGTTTTATCATGATTAATTTGAGTTTTAAGGAAATCATTTCCCGGAGTATGGGAATGATGATACATGTGGTCAATCTTCTAGTCTTAATTTTTCTACCAATGGTTGTTATACACTACAAAGATGGCTTTAGTTTAGGTAAACTTCCGAAACCTGTTGTAAAAATATAATTGGACGTTTACAGTGGGCGCTTCAACTGTTACCACCCTGTATAGTGTCTTATTTTTGAAATTATGGTCCTACATCCAGGTTAATTTATGGTGCAGAAACGCGCGCCAAAATTCAAACAATAAGAGTCTTCGTCGCCAGTCCCTCTCTTACAACAACTTGCCAAAAGACGAAGATAGTAACAAAAATCACAAAGACTCCCAGGACGACTTAAGCAATACGGAAAAACTTCTAGTGCAATACCCTGACAATTTGAATTTAAAAGACTTATTTTACTTCCTGTGTGCCCCCACTCTGTGTTACGAATTGAATTTCCCTCGGACGGAGCGAATACGGAAACGCTTCCTCCTGAAACGAATTTTCGAAGTTTTGGCGGGCATCCAATTAATCTTGTGCATCTTCCAGCAATACATGATTCCCTCCGTGAAGAACTCTCTCATTCCTTTCAGCAACATGGACATAGCACTCGCGTCTGAAAGATTACTGAAACTAGCGGTAATTCCCCGGATTGTTGTCTACTAAACCTTGTTGTTTTTTTCCAGATCCCCAACCATTTAGCATGGCTGTGCATGTTTTACATTCTGTTCAACTCGTGGCTTAATTTATTAGGAGAAGTGTTGCATTTCGCCGATCGGAATTTCTACGGGGATTGGTGGAATGCCAACAACATTGACACGTTCTGGCGCACGTGGAATTTGCCGGTGCACCGATGGGCGTTGAGACACTTGTATTTTCCTTTAGTAGAGCTGGGTTATGGCAAACAAGTTGCTGGTATCACTGTGTTTTTCATCAGTGCCTTCTTCCACGAATACATGGTCAGTGTCCCATTGAAGACGTACAAGATTTGGGCGTTCATGGGCATGATGGGTCAGGTTCCGCTCAGTAACATTTCCAAATTCATGGAACGTACTTATGGAGCCAGGATGGGCAATATCGTGGTTTGGGCGTCGCTGATAATTGGTCAACCGCTCTGCATCATGATGTATTACCACGATTATGTTATCACTCATTATGGGCAGTCATTGTTGGAGGACTACGGGCATGTGTAACGACTGATTAGGCTTAAGTTTTTTATTGGTTACCATTGTTTAATAAAACCTGTGAGAAAATAGTTTTTTGTTTGATTTTCCGGGTAATCACGTCACGGTTCACTTGAACTTACTCGAGTAAATAATTTAGCGAAAAAACATTTTATTAGTGGCTGAGAGATATGATATTGATGTTAATTAACATTCCAATACATACGCAGTTATGCACTCAACAAATCAACCTGCCAATGTAATGTTTAATTTAACTCTCACTTTATTTTATCAAAGTTTTTTCCGCCACGAATCAATCAAGTGGAATAGATCCGAGAAAAATGATTTAATTGAACTTTGCCGCAATTCTCATTGTTTCAATCCTTTCATTTCTCACTAATTCGAGTGTGTTGCGGATTTTTGCACAAAGCTGATCTATAAATTATCGAGATAAATTAAAATACAGTTGATAAATGATGGCGCTTGCTGGCATGCATGGTCGAGCGTAATAAACTTTAAGTAAACTTGTTGTGTGGGTACGTACTAGGAATATCCCTGAGTCGCGAAAAATTTCTATTGTAATTATTTTACAGACTTGTTTGCATAATTCACTTAAAGTAATTAGAAACTTAATTGTAGGTCGGGCTTAAATTCGTGGAATTGACTTCTGGATAAATAAAGATTGATTGTATTTAAATTACGGTGTAGAGTCTTAAAACTGATGCAATAACGAAATAATGATACAGTACTCGATGAACAGCGGATTTAAATTCATTTTAAAAATGTGAGCCAGTCTCTTTCCTGTTGGCAATTTCCTGTTTTTGTCATCATGCAACAATATTGTTTCATAATTACTTGTAATCTGAAAAAGGACTTTGAGCTGAAAATTCCAAGTCATATAAAGAATGCTTCTAAGTATAGGCATTTGAGCTGGAGCCACTTGTAACAAGTAGCAAGTTTACTACGCATTTAAGCATTTTTATCGTTGTATTTTGCATATTGAATTAATTATTTAAAACCTACAAAGTCAAGGTTTTTGGTGGTTCATCCGTTATGTTTTAACCACAAAGGACTTAAACTACTTATTAGGTACCTCGCTATTATAAAAAAATCGTGTTAAAGTTGTAGTATAGTCAACAAATGCATTTAAATTTATTCATTTTGGTCTTTGATGCAAACGATTTGCATAGGCAATTTTTCCGGACAATGTTACATTAGCACAAATATTTAATGATATTAAAAAAATGTAGGAGTCTCTATATTTTTCTGATTTTTTCAAAATTTTGATTCGTTTTCGGCAGCCGGAACGGATAGTCGTCATTAACCCGTAATTATCGTTTTTAGCTGTTTAATTGAAGATAACATTAGAAAGAGCTTTTTGTGTTAAATTTTATAAAAAAAGATTTTCGTCCTACAACTGATGATTATTGAGAAAATCGCATATTAACCAAAAATTGGAAATGGTATATTCTAAACTACCTAGAGTTTTCCGATGGCCTAAATCTGGGCTAATAATTTCGATAGAAATTAACAAAAAACTCTAATCCTTGGGTAAATTTTGTGTATTGTTGGTTGCATACAATTGAAGGTGATTTTAATATAAATTATAATAATATAAGTTTTCCAGCGGACTTTTTTTATAAACTAAAAACATGAATAGTAATTTATTTTATAATGTACGGAAAATTAGGCTTTCTGGTTCCATACTGAGTAAGGGAAGTGAGCTATTACAGTGTAATAATTTTTAACATTCCAAAATGTCGAAATAATTTTTGGAACAATTTTTTTAAAACAGTATGAAATAAAATAAATATTCATCCAATAAGCTTCTTACAATATTTATTTCTATATTAAGGATTTCTTCACTCCTTCAATCTTTCGTCGCCTCGTCTGTGAAGATCTCATTCGTACCTACTGTAATATTTGACTTACCGCCTCACCGGACTCATAACGTAATAGTAATTTACGTATATTCTGGTAATTAAATATATACTAAACCTTAAAGTGATGCAAATGAAAGAGAAATTATTTCTGTACCTTATAGAGGTAAAGAATCGTATTGTCATTATTATAAATACATTTGTATCCAAAAAAAAAATGAAAATTTTTAGGTTTTAAATTATAATATAATCTGAGAGCTAGGAGTTGAAAACTAAAAACTGAATAGTTATTTATTATACAAGACGATAAAGAAATTGTTTATCTACGAGTGAAAAGGTTAAGTTTACGAGTGACGAAGTCAGGAGTGAACTTTTTTCACGAGTATCTTTATTGTTGTGTATAATATTTTGTTTTATTTTGTATTCATATACTAGAATTCCTAAATATAAACAGTAGATAAAAATTACTTTATTTCACTAGACACTCTTTAATATTGAGTACAAAATAAAAATATTTTTTCCAATATTTTATCGATTTGTAGACTAAAATATAAAAATTAAAAACGAATGAAAAAAAATGAAAGAAATTAAAAATTATAATCACTTTTATAGACACTATAAATTA